TGTTCCTTTCGTATCAAGGGGAACAGGAAGAACCTTCTGGGCTGTCCCTGCCTCCTGCTCCTTTGGCTGCTCCTTTGGTTCTGCTATCCCAGGACTTCCACCCACCTCTGTGTCTTTCTTATCAAGGAGAACTGGGAGAACCTTCTGGCCTGGAGCTCCCTCCTGCTGGTCCTTTGACTGCTGCTTTGTTTCTGGAGTCCTAGGACTTCCACCGACCTCTGTGTCTTTCTTATCAAGGGGAACAAGAAGAACCTCCTTGCCTGGCCCTCCATCCTCCTCCTTTGGCTTGTCCTTTGTTTCTGCAGTCCCAGGACTTCCACCGGCCTCTGTGTCTTTCTTATCAAGGGGAACTGGGAGAACCTTCTGGCCTGGAGCTCCCTCCTGCTGGTCCTTTGACTGCTCCTTTGGTTCTGCAGCCCCAGGACTTCCACTGACTTCTGTGTCTTTCTTATCAAGGAGAACTGGGGGAACCTTCTGATCTGGCCCTCCCTCCTGCTCCTTTGGCTTGTCCTTTGTTTCTGCAGCCCCAGGACTTCCACTGACTTCTGTGTCTTTCTTATCAAGGAGAACTGGGGGAACCTTCTGATCTGGCCCTCCCTCCTGCTCCTTTGGCTTGTCCTTTGTTTCTGCAGCCCCAGGACTTCCACTGACTTCTGTGTCTTTCTTATCAAGGAGAACTGGGGGAACCTTCTGATCTGGCTCTCCCTCCTGCTCCTTTGGCTTGTCCTTTGTTTCTGCAGTCCCAGGGCTTCCACCGACCTCTGTGTCTTTCTTATCAAGGGGAACAAGAAGAATCTTCTGGCCTGGAGCTCCCTCCTGCTGGTCCTTTGGCTGCTCCTTTGGTTCTGCTATCCCAGGACTTCCACCGACCTCTGTGCCTTTCTTATCAAGGGGAACCGGGAGAACCGTCTGGACTGGACCTGTCTCCTGCTCCTTTGACTGGTCCTTTGATACCGTAGTTCCACTGACCATTGCTCCCTTCTCAACAAAGGTAACCTTGTGAACTGGCGCTCCTTCCACCTGCATTTTTTGGTCCTTTGATTTTGCAGTTGCAGTTCTTTCACCAATATCTTTTTCTTTCACATCAAGGGAAATATTGTGGTGTATCCCTCCCACCACCTCCTTCTGGAGGTCCCTTGATTCCACAGTTACAGTTCTCCCAGTGATCACTATTCCTTTCTCATCAAAGGAGATTGGAAGAACCTTGTGGTCTGGCCCTTCCTTCACTTCCTTTTGGTGGTCCTTTGATTCCACCATAACAGTGCTTCCACTCATCTTTGTTACTTTTTCATCAATGGAAATGGCAAGAACCTTGTGGCATGGTTCTCCCTCTACCTTCTTTGGATGGTCCCTTGATTCTACCATAAGAGTACTTCCACTTATCTCTGTTATTTTCTCATCAATGGAAATTGCAATAACCTTGTGGCATGGTTCTCCCTCTACCTTCTTTGGATGGTCCCTTGATTCCACAATTCCAGTTCTTTCAGAGATCACTGTTCCTTTTTCATCAAGGGAAATTGGGACAGCCTTGTAGTGTGGACTTCCCTCCACCGCCACCTCCTTTTGATGTTCCCTTAATTCCACAATTCCAGTTCTCCCAGTGATCACTATTCCTTTCTCATCAAAGGAGATTGGAAGAACCTTGTGGTCTGGCCCTTCCTTCACCTCCTTTTGGTGGTCCTTTGATTCCACCACAACAGTGCCTCCACTCATCTCTGTTACTTTCTCATCAATGGAAATGGCAAGAACCTTGTGGCATGGTTCTCCCTCTACCTCTTTTGGTTGGTCCCTTGATTCCACAATTACAGTTCTTCCAGCGATCACTATTGCTTTCTCATCAAATGAGCTTGGAAGAACCTTGTGGTCTGGCCCTTCTTCCAGCTTCTTTTGAAGTTCCTTTGTTTCTACAGGTCTGGTTCTTCCTCCGACCTCTGTTGCTTTCTCATCAAATAAGATTGGGAGAACCTTGTAGTGTGGACCTCCCTCCACCTCCGCCTCCTTTTGGTGTTCCCTTAATTCCACAATTCCAATTCTTCCACTGATCGCTTTTTCTTTTTCATCAAGCAAAATTGAGAGAACCTTGTAGTGTGGCCCTCCCTCCACCTCCTTTTGTTGGTCCCTCGATTCCATAGTTACAGCTCTTCCAGTGATCACTGCTCCTTTATCATCAAAGGAGAATGGAAGAACCTTGTGACCTGGTCCTCCTTCGAGCTCCTTTGGAAGTTCCTTTGTTTCTGCAGTTCTGGTTCTTCCTCCAACCTCTGTTGCTTTCTCATCAAATAAGATTGAGAGAACCTTGTCACATGGTCCTCCCTCTACCTCCTTTTGGTGGTCCCTTGATTCCACCATTCCAGTTCTTCCAGTGATCGCTGTTCCTTTTTCATCAAGGAAAATTGGGAGACCCTTATAGTGTGGACCTCCCTCCGCCTCCTTTTGGTGTTCCCTTAATTCCACCATTCCAGTTCTTCTCGTGATCACTGCTCCTTTCTCATCAAAGGAGAATGGAAGAACCTTGTGACCTGGTCCTCCTTCGAGCTCCTTTGGAAGTTCCTTTGTTTCTGCAGTTCTGGTTCTTCCTCCAACCTCTGTTGCTTTCTCATCAAATAAGATTGAGAGAACCTTGTCACATGGTCCTCCCTCTACCTCCTTTTGGTGGTCCCTTGATTCCACCATTCCAGTTCTTCCAGTGATCGCTGTTCCTTTTTCATCAAGGAAAATTGGGAGACCCTTATAGTGTGGACCTTCCTCCGCCTCCTTTTGGTGTTCCCTTAATTCCACCATTCCAGTTCTTCCCGTGATCACTGCTCCTTTCTCATCCAAGGAGAATGGAAGAACCTTGTGACCTGGTCCTCCTTCGAGCTCCTTATGATGTTCCTTTGTTTCTGCAGTTCTGGTTCTTCTTCTGACCTCTGTTCTTTTATCAGCAATGAAAATTGGGAGAACCTCGTGGCATGGTCCTCTCCCTACCTCCTTTTGGTGGTCTCTTGATTCCACCATTCCAGTTCTTCCAGTGATCTCTGTTCCTTTCTCATCAAAGGAAATTGCGAGAACCTTGTGATGTGACGCTCTCTCCAGCTCCTTTTGGCGGTCCTTTGATTCTGCAGTTCTGGTTCTTCCTCCAACCTCTATCCCTTTTTCATCAAAGAAAATTGGGAGAACCTCACGGCATGGTCCTCTCTCTACCTCCTTTTGTTGGTCCTTCAATTCCACCATTCCAGTTCTTCCACTGACTTCTATCATTTTCTCATCAAAAGCAATTGCAAGAACCTCGTGGCTTGGCCCTCCCTCCAGCTCTGTTTGGTGGTCCCTTAATTTCGCCGTTGCAGTTCTTCCACTGACCACTGTTCCTCTCTCATCAACGAAAATCGGGAGAATCACGCAGGATGATCTCCCCGCTAGCTCCTCCTGGAAGTGCCTTAATTCACAGCCTCTGATCCCTTGTCTGCCCTCAGCCTCCACTCCCTTTTCCGCTCCTTCTCTTCCAGCTGACACTCCATCGGTACTCAAGGAAAACCGGAGAACCTTGCTGGAGGATGCTGTCTCTGCCTGCATCCCCATTTTGTGTGGCTTTGGGGGCTCTGGGACTATCAGCATTTGATCCGAGCCAAGAGGTGTTTCCTCCTTGGGATGCCTCCTCAAAATGATGCTGGGTGTGCAAGGCCCAGGGGGCGCCCTTTTCATGATACTTGTTTCGGTCCCGCTCAGCTGTGAAGAACTGCAGGTCAGCTCTGCCACCGACTTTGAATAGGGCGTTGGAAGTTTCGACTTGTAGGCCAAGTATTTGTGTCCGATGTTCAGGTCAATGATGCAAGGAGCCTCCCCAGTGGCGAAGGGCAGGCAGATGTGTTTGGGCCTTGGGGTTTTGTTGCCAAAATGGATCGGCTTGGGCAGAGGATTTGCAGAAAGGACCTTGTAGAGTCGGAAGGATTTTTCCACCATTTCTGGAAAGGCGCCCGTCTGCATTTCTAACATCTTCACCGTCATGTGGAAAGTGAGCTTCTTCACATCTTCTGGCTCCATCGAGAGGAGAATATACTTCCCAGGGGAAGTCCTGGTTTTATGGCCTGGCCTCTTCATGAGGAAACAAGGCTTCCCGCTCTCTTTCGGCTGGTCCTCCAAATGGAGAAGGTAATACTTCTTGGTTCCTGGAGATTCTCGTAAAGGTTTCGCATAGAGCAACGTGGCGTTTCTGTGTGGAGACTCAAGAGGCAGGGGGCTTCGGGCACAAATTATCTTTCTCTTTGGCCTCTGGGGTCTGCTTTCAAACTCCCCGGAAAATTCGTCCACACAGGGTCGAAACCACGATTCAGACTTGGAGACGAGGGTGGGGACGCCACACCGCCTCTGAACCATTTTCTTTTTGACGTGAAATTCAAGAGAGCCTCTGGTTTCCCTGTCCATCTCTTCCAGGACTAAAGGGGCCAGCTCAGAGTCATGCAGAGGGAAGCTGGTGCCAGAGATTGCCTTTGTCGCAGGCCGCTGACCGGTGGGAGAAGGCGGCTTTGGCAAGCTTTCCTCCGAGGCGCTAGAATGTTCCTGTGCGCACGGCACATCCATATCTATACACGGAAGTGGCATTTGGTCGGAGCAGGACAATTCTGGAGGTTTTTCCTCCCTTTCCTCTTGATCCGTGCAACTTTCAACACTCTCTTTCTCCATCAGTTTGGGAGGAGAGGGTGGCTTGGCGTTATGTGATGGTGCAGGGCCCATATGAATTGCGACGCATTTTTCCACCAAGATTACCTGGTCTTCTTTTTTATAAGTCGCGCTCTGGAGAATATTTATCTGTGTAAACGGAGCCATAGGCGGGAAGGAAGGGATTCTTATGACTTCTATATGTTTTTCAGGCAGCAATGGGACCTCCAACGGTTCACGCTTCGGCACTATCAAGCAGGGCTCCTCCGAATTGGAGCAGGAATCGGAGCTTTTGCTCTCCGTCACGTCCGAGGAATCTAATACGGTCCACGAAGTATCTCTAGCATCCTGGAAGTTTTCGGAACTCGAATGCAGGTCCAGACATTTTAAATGAGGTAGGCAGGAGGAGGAGGAGGAAGATGAGGAGGAGGAGGAGGAGCAGGAAGCATGGCTTAAAATGGCCTCATACTTCAGTGGAGGAAATCCATCATATTTTGGACATAAACACTCCTCTTGATGCCAATTTCCCATATCTTCACATGGAACAAGAGAACAGTGGTGTATTTCACAAGGCTGCTCACAACTGCAATAAATAAGACAAAACAGAGTTGTTTTGTACATTTGGTGCGTTAATAAGGGTCAGGTCCAACTGAATTTTAATTTTGTGTGTGTGTGTGTGTGTGTGTGTGTGTGTGCATATATATATAGTGGTTTACAAATGCTTTAAAATAATAGATCCATTGAAATTAGTGGGCCTGGGTATTGCATGCCCATTAATTTCCCAGAGGGCTATTCTGAGTAATGCTAACATTGGACACCACCCAAATTCCTACCATTTCCAAAAGTTCACATTTTTAAAAAACTACATGTCTATGCAATTTCTAAGATCGGGCTGGCAATCACATGAGGACGAGAAAAGAAAAGGCAGCGTGGAAAAGAATGTACCAAGTTAGCATAAAGCAAGATAAAACTTTGTTTTGTGTTGAGGGGAGTGGGGACCGAGTTGTGTCCTACAAAACATTTTAGGAACCGCCTTAGGATGAAATTCAACGCCAGGGAGATACAGAGCAGGCACATTGAACTTAGTGGGCAGGCCTAACTTCTATGTCATTGTGTCCACTCTGGAGGAAAACAACAGAGGGAAAAGAGGGACAGGGATGGCAGAACGTCTGATTTGCATGCAATAAGTCCCAGGTTCAGTCCCCAGCATCTCCAAGTACAGCCTGGAAAGACCTGAAAGCCTGGAAAGCTGCTGCCTGATACGAAGCCTGATTCTTGTTCAAATTCATCCCTGGTTAGCATGTCTGGTTTGCATTCATCCCTTGTTAGTGTTTCTGGTTTGCATTTATCCCTTGTTAGCATTTCTTGTTTGCACTCATTCCTTGTTAGTTTTCACACCAGCTGGGACATAAGAGGCTGCCTTTTACTCCCCGGGGCCCTTACCAGTCTTCTCCCAGAAGACTCCCCACCTGGGTGCCCCCTAGAACACAGCCCAAATAACATCCCTTTAGTCTAGAGTTACTGAGGGCATACACCTACCTTTCGAAATAAGAAGTTAACGGTGTCCCACAAACACAAAGACATTCTATGACAAAAAATAATAATTATTATTTGTTTTGAAGATTTATTATAGCTGTGTAATGTTTAATCAATGAATTAAATCGACTCGGGGGTACACAAACCATTTTGGCCTGAGAGCCACATGGCGGTAGTGGGTGGGGCCGAATTAATAGTAGGCGGAGCAACACATGTAAATTTTACCTTTAGTTTCCACACAAACGCTCCTTTCTATCTAGCCTCCATTCACTTCTGTGGGAGGGTTTTTCTTTTTTGTCATTCCCACGTCAACAACTGTCCCTACCAGCATTGCCATGACGAAGCATGTTTTATTTTACTTTATTTATAAAGGTATTTATAAAACTGCCAGCTTGCAATAAGAAGTGGTGTACACCACGTTAAACCAAGAACAGATGTCCCACACCAGATGGCAGTATAGATTTCCGCAGAGACAATGCAATTATTACAGGACTTGGAAAAGAACACGTTAAGGGCAGTGTTATAAACTGAGATATGGAAGCTAGGAGCTAAATGGCGCCTTCAGCCTAGGTTATGGGCGCAACAGCGGAATGTCTAGGCACGCTTTTTATAACAAGAATACAAAGCTGAAAATGAATGAGCTGCAGCTAAAATATTATGTTAATTTTTCACATGGTCTAGTTCTTTCCTGCCCACCCACCCCCCTAATATTTTTAAGAGGGATTCTTCTCCAGTCTTCTTCCAGTTACTCTCTGAACTGGAAGTGGAGAGGCAGAAAAAGGTCTTCCTTTCCTTCCACTCAGGGACGCGGGTGGCGCTGGGGTCTAAACCACTGAGCCTCTTGGGCTTGCTGATCAGAAGGTCGGTGGTTCGATCCCCATGACGTGGTGAGCTCCCGTTGCTCGGTCCCTGCTCCTGCCAACCTAGCAGTTCGAAAGCACACCAAAAAGTGCAAGTAGATAAATAGGTACCACTCCAGCGGGAAGGTAAATGGCGTTTCCATGCGCTGCTCTGGTTTGCCAGAAGTGGCTTAGTCATGCTGGCCACATGACCTGGAAAAACTGTCTGCGGACAAACGCTGGTTCTCTCGGCCTGTAACGAGAGATGAGCGCCGCAACCCCAGAGTCGTCTGCGACTGGACTTAACGGTCAGGGTCCTTTACCTTTACCTCCCCCCCCCCCATTCCACTCCGCAGCTTTAATCTGAAATCTTAGGTACAGTATTGTGCCCAGAGTTCAGAAACTGCTCGCGCTAATGAAATTCCCTGTCGCAAAATGCACCTAGAACAATGGAGTTTCGAACACTGTTTAAGGGAGAAAGTCAGGTTGCAAAAACATACCATTTTTCCCTGGTGCTTCCTGCTCTGCTTCTCTCTCTGGTTCGGGAACCGTTTCCGCCTGTGTGAAGGCAGATGAGTAAAGTGAAAAACGGATTACCTGCTTTCCAGTTCTCTTAGATAGCCGTCCTCCTACGTCGTCTTGCCCAACCCCTTGCAATGCAGTGGTCACAACTAAACAATCCATGACAGAAGGCCGCCCAACTTCTGCCTAAAAACCTTCAACGCAGGAGAGTCCACCACCTCCCCAGGGAGACAGTTCCACCATTGAATAGTTCTTACCATCAGAAAGTTCTTCCTAATATTTAGTCAGAATCTCCTTTATTGTAATTTGAATCTGTTAATCATGGTCCTACCTTCTGGAACTGCTGAGGTATTTGAGATATAGCTATCCTATCTCCTCTCACTCATTAGGTAGTAAAATCCATGTTAAATTGCTGTTTTAAGGGTTGTTTTTAAAAGTCTGGAACGGATTACAGTGGTACCTCGGGTTAAGTACTTAATTCGTTCCGGAGGTCCATTCTTAGCCTGAAACTGTTCTTAATCTGAAGCACCACTTTAGCTAATGGGGCCTCCTGCTGCCGCCACACCGCCACCGCACGATTTCTGTTCTCATCCAGAAGCAAAGTTCTTAACCCGAGGTACTATTTCTGGGTTCCGGAGTCTGTAACCTGAAGCGTATGTAACCTGAAGCGTATGTAACCCAAGGTACCACTGTAATCCGTTTTGCATTATTACTTTCTATGGGAAAGTGTGCCTCGGTTTTGGAAAAGACTTCCGGAACGGGTTAAGTTTGAGAACCAAGGTACCACTGTAATTTTCTCGGCCATAACTACTGAAGACGCTTTAAGGAGAAACGTCTCTTTACCGAGCTCACAGTCGCCTCGCGAGGCTTTGCTTGCGAAGAAGCCGGGCCCGATGAAGTCCAGATGTTTAGCACCAGCCACAGAAGCAGGACGGCCGATCCCACCAGGAGGAACCCCCAGGGAGAGTCCGAAAGCCAGCAGAAGCCATGCTGAAAGCAGAAAGACTTGCGGAATTTCAGCAGCTTGTGCCCCTCCTGGTAGGGGGTGCCTGGGTCTTCCCGCACTACGATCCTGCCGCTGTGGGGGGAAGGATCTCTGTTTGGCTTCTTCCCCAACAGCAGGGAACTCAGCACCAAAGCTGCATATGCGTGTCTCATGCTAGGTCCACGCCGCTGCGTCAAGGGCGCATTCCAAGCGCCTGTTTGTGTGTGTTTTACATCCGCCCCATCGCGCCAGGAAGCCAAGCTGGGACCTTTGCGACAGCCAGGTTGCCGGTCCGAGAAAAGATGGGGCAGGTCTCCGTACAAAATGTTGGCCTCTCATCTCAGTTATGTCACAATAAGATCACTGCAGGGCCTGGTTGCTAAGGAACTGATTTGTGGCTCAAAGCTGGTGGAGAGGGATGCTTTCGGGGTGAACACAGTTTATCAAACTTGTTCCCCTTAACGCCGCTATCTGTCAGGAGCCCAGGTTCCCAGCTTGATAACACAGTAAAGGTAAAGGTAAAGGTAAAGGGACCCCTGACCATTAGGTCCAGTCATGGCCAGCTCTGGGGTTGTGGCGCTCATCTCACTTTATTGGCCGAGGGAGCCGGCGTACAGCTTCGGGGTCATGTGGCCAGCATGACTAAGCCACTTCTGGTAAACCAGAGCAGCGCACGGAAACGGCGTTTACCTTCCTGCCGGAGCAGTACCTAGTTATCTACTTGCACTTTGACGTACTTTCAAACTGCTAGGTTGGCAGGAGCTGGGACCGAGCAACAGGAGCTCACCTCGTCACGGGGATTCGAACCGCCAACCTTCTGATCAACAAGTCCTAGGCTCTGTGGTTTAACCCACAGCACCACCCGTGTCCCGCTAACACAGTAAGCGTAGGTAATTAAAAAGGAGGATTTATTGCAAAAACAAACAGATCGCTCCGGATGGCTCTAACGCAGCCGGCGGCATTATCACTCAAGATGACCCTTCTGAAGACTCCTTCCGGTGTCTACAGAATATATTGAACTGTCGCCCTTTGCATCTCGTTTTGCTTCCGATCTAGCAGCCCTCCCATTCGCCGACTCTTCAGACTTATTGGATTAGCTCCAGCCTCTTCCTTTTCTGACCCAACTATCTCTATGCGTATTCACTCCTGTTTGTGCTTCCTGAGAGATTTGACTGCGTTCCAGCCCGCTCTCCGCTACAGCCTTATCATCCTGCCATTCAAGGTCAGAAGGAAGCGAAGCCTGCAGCTGTCGGCTCTCCTCTGCCTGAGTGAAATCCCAGCCTCTCTGTTCCTGGCTGCTTTTTGCAGCCCGCTGCAAAACTTCGCTTGGAGCTGGCGCATTCATGACACTATCCTTTATAGCTTTAAGAGTTCTAAGATGTGGTCAGCTTTTGTAACCAAGCTCCTTCCTAACAGGTGGCTAAGGATTCGTCCTCCAACACAGATCGTTGTAGGCTTGGAACCTCAGATCTCTTGAGCCCTCAAGAAACAGCGTACTCTCCAAGGGTCCCCATTCTCCAGGGAACACCCCAGAATTACTAAAGCCATCCCAGCTTCTGATTTGATCCCAGAATGTCCCTGTTTTCCCTGCCACTGCAGTTGCCACTGAGCTTGATGAGCATGAGTTGGTGCTTATCCCATGTGGCAGTGGTGGCTAACATCCCATGGTGTCTCCCTGGCCACAGCTGCTAGCCTTCTCCCTTGGACAGCTTATAAGCGGCTGATGAGGAGCGTGGGAGGAAGTGGAGATCTATATGTGGGCCACCTTTCTGCAGTTTTGTTTTGACTGCAACACTTTTTGCTTTTGTGTGTGTGTTATTGGTTTGTTGTGGTTTTGTTCTTGTTTTTTTATTACAGGGAGGTTTTTCTTTGTTTTAAAGTTCTGGGCACCACAGTTCAAAGGACACTGACAAACTGGAACGTGTCCAGAGGGGCAACCAAAATGGTCAAAGGCCTGGAAACGATGCCTTATGAGGAACGGCTAAGGGAGCTGGGCATGTTTAGCCTGGAGAAGAGGAGGTTAAGGGGTGATATGATAGCCATGTTCAAATATATAAAAGGATGTCACATAGAGGAGGGAGAAAGGTTGTTTTCTGCTGCTCCAGAGAAGCGGACACGGAGCAATGGATCCAAACTACAAGAAAGAGGATTCCACCTAAACATTAGGAAGAACTTCCTGACAGTAAGAGCTGTTCGACAGTGGAATTTGCTGCCAAGGAGTGTGGTGGAGTCTCCTTCTTTGGAGGTCTTTAAGCAGAGGCTTGACAACCATATGTCAGGAGTGCTCTGATGGTGTTTCCTGCTTGGCAGGGGGTTGGACTCGATGGCCCTTGTGGTCTCTTCCAACTCTATGATTCTAAGTTTTGTTGGAAGCTGCCCAGAGTGGCTGGGGCAACCCAGTTAGATGGGCAGCCTTTAAATAATAAATTATTATTATTATTAACTTTATTGAAAGTTCAAAAATACATAATTTTATGTGCGCTAAATATGGTGGGACGTAAATAAGAGAGAGAAAAAGAGAAACAGAACCCGTGTAGAAGGGAAAATAAAGGGGGGTGAACCCAAAACTATATACATTATAGTCATATCTCGGGTTGAAGTAGCTTCGAGATAAGTATTTTTGGGTTGCGCGCTGTTGCGACCCGGAAGTAACGGAGCATGTTATTTCCGGGTTTCGCCACTCACACATGTGCAGACGGTCAAATTGATGTCACGCACATGAACAGAAGCAGCGAATCGCGACCCGCACAGACGTGGGTTGCGTTCGCTGCTGGATGTGAACGGGGCTCCGGAACGGATCCCATTCGCATCCAGAGGTACCACTGTACAAGGTTGTTATTGTACTCCACCAGATCTTAACCTATTACAGTGGTGCCCCGCAAGACGAATGCCTCGCAAGACGGAAAACCCGCTAGACGAAAGGGTTTTCCATTTTGGAGGTGCTTCGCAAAACGAATTTCCTATGGGCTTGCTTCGCAAGACGAAAATGTCTTGCGAGTTCCTGCAGGGTTCCCCCCCCCTCTTTTCCCAAGCCGCTAAGCCGCTTATCAGCTGATCCGGCTAAGCCGCTTAACAGCTGATCCGCTAAGCCCGCTAATAGCGCTAATCCGCTAATGGGCTTGCTTCGCAAGACGAAAAAACCGCAAGACGAAGAGACTCGCGGAACGGATTCTTTTCGTCTTGCGAGGCACCACTGTACAGTATTTTTAAGAACGGATTCCAAATATCATTGAATTTGTCCATGGCAAGTCTGTGTTTATAGGCAAGTTGTTCATATGTTGTGAGTTTGTATAAGGGATATATATTATTATATTTGTATGTATCTTGTGTTTTATTTTGCATTTTTAAGTTGTGAACCGTCCCAAGATCTGCGGATGACGGACGGCATACAAATTTAATGAACACAATAAAAAACAGCCAAACAGTTGCTTGGTTTTAATGACACCTCCGCTGTACCTTCCAAACCTTCGCTATACCTTCCAAACTCCCCCACCCTAGACACCCTTTCCAGTTCCATCCCCAAACCAGGTATATGTTTATTAAGGACCTTTTCCACTGGACCTGCCCCCCCCCACGCCCAAAGAACCTATTCAATACCAGAGATATTGCAGCAACAGGAATCATAAGTGGGGAGGGGGAGTACTGTTGCCCTCTTGGGTTTCCCATAATGGGCATCTGGTTGGCAGCTGTTGAGAGCAGAATGCTGAACCAGATGGGCCACTGGCCTGATCCAGCTCCTCATACGTCCTTTAGGATAAGGAAGTAAGCACAACACAGGAGAGAGAGAGAGAGAGCAAAAGTATAAATAGTTTCCTTTTTAATTTCAGCACAAAAAAGAGAACTCTTCCACCAGGTGTTCCACGTGATAGAAAACAGCAGAGGAGACAGGTGTCTGCCAGATGTGGGGAAGGACCAGGAGCCGGGAAATGGGCCTGATGACTGCCAACACCCCTCACACCAAGCCTGTAAAGCAGGCATAGGCAAACTCCGGCCCTCCAGATGTTTTGAGACTATAATTCCCATCATCCCTGACCACTGGTCCTCTTAGCTAGGGATGATGGGAGTTGTAGTCCAAAATAGAGAAAACCTTGCTATAAGCTTAGGGAGGCCCGTTTGCCCTTTGCTAAATCCTCCCCTGGATTCCTTTCCTCCCTCCCTATGCTATTAGAAGCTCTGGGCAAGCATGCCCCGATGTACACAGATGCTGAAAAGAGGAGGCCCCAGTCCTTGGGGGTGAGACAGGCTGCTTCAGGTTGAAGTGGGCACATTGGTTTGGTCCGGCATCTTGTTAAACTGGGTGCTTCTTGCCCAAACGCCACCCACCCAGCTCACCTGTCCTTCCTGCCCATAAGGGCGATCCTTCAAGCTGCTTGGGCTCTACTTCTCTTCTGCAGTGGTGGCTGGAGCCCAATGGGCGAAAGGCAGGGAGCCTAACAGTAGGTGGCGCCAAGGCCAGAGCCAGGCAGAGCCAGCTATTTCTAGCTAAGTCTTCCAACTGAGCATAGAGGAGGAAGCTAACACAGACAGGATTGCTTGTAAGAAGGCAGGCAGGGTTTTGTTTTTCCCCAGGGGGGTTGCAGGCTGATATTGGCGGGGCGGCGCCCAATTTGCCCTACCGGACTGGCCTCCCCTGTAATCTTCCCTACCGCCAGCTAAACATGCAAAGAGGTGCAAGGCAGTGTGAGAATTAGGAGTGGGGTGGGGGAGAGAAAGTGGATCCAAACAACCATGAACGAAGGCAGGCTGCTGTTTATAAGGGGTGGGGGGAGAAAGACCCTCTGAACCTATCAGGAAGACTCTCCGCCTGGGAGTGGCGGGTGAGGAGAAGAGGCTGTACACAAGCCCAGCGGTGCAAGCTCTTCACAGCTGCAGATCCAGAGGGAACACGTGCCGCGAGGGCTCCCCACAATCTCAGCCTGGGTGTGAAGGATTTGGGAGGAAGAGAGATCTAAGGGTAAGGAAACAGGGCTGGGACATTGCTGAGTGTTGAACAAGCTGCCAGAGTTTCACTGCTGGGTGATGAGCTCTTGGCAGTGGCTGGATTGGGAAAATGCCACCCTTGCCCTGCCCAATTCTGTCAACATGCCTGGTAACGTTAAATCAGGGGCGGCTAAGCAGATTCTTGTTGAGTCCACCAGCCCTGATCACTGGCCACAGAGATGGGGGGGGTCCAGCAGCAACCTGGAGATGGACCACAGTTCAGTCCCCGCTCCCTTGCTTTACACACAAGTTAAAAACGACAACATTGAGCTGTATGGGAGGTGTGTTGCGACTGTTCCCAGTAAATGCCAGCCAAGGTCTCCAGTCCAGCATTGCTCAGAGCATTTTTTGCACAGCAGGATTGACAAAACGGGTGGGGGGGGTAGCGAGTCTTGGAAGGCACAATTGGCAGGAGCAGGGCCAGAGGAAGAAAGCTTGGTCAGAAATGGACACACACACACACCTCCCAGCCCAGGTCTGTAACAGAGACAGGGACTCCCAGACAGCTGCCTCTCTCCAATTGTGGGGGACGCCCCTCCTGAAGCCCCAGGGGACCCCAAAGCAGTTGTACAGAGCCTATCTGCAGTCCCGTGCGGAGAACCCAAGGTCAGGATGGCGAGAGGAGCGCAAGGCTGAAGAGGAGAATGGCGACAAGGAGGAGAGGCCGGGGACACAGCAAAGTGCGGGACTCCACACGCCGGGCGTTTCGGGGTTTGGCTTCACGTCCGCGGTCTCCCAAGGGCAACAGCGCCGGGAGGCTGGCGAGAGCCTGGTGCACAGCAAGGTCCGCAGCACCCAGCGGCAAAGTCACGTCTGCGCCAGGGGCAGCTCCTCCAAGCCTTCCTTCCCCAGGCGATATCGGGCCAGATCCTTCCGTGTGACCAGACCCACCACCTATAGAGAGAAAAAGGCAGGATTTCAGGTCACTCGGGAGCGGCAGAACCAGGCCCTGAGCAGAGGTGCTTCTAGGCAAAAAGGTAAAGGACCCCTAGATGGTTAAGTCCAGTCAAAGGCGACTATGGGGTTGCGGCGCTGATCTCGCTTTCAGGCTGAGGGAGCCGGCGTTTGTCCGCAGTCAGCTTTCCGGGTCATGTGGACAGCAGGACTAAGCCGCAATGGGACACTGTGTTGGAAACCAGAGCACACGGAAACACCGTTTACCTTCCCACTGCAGCGGTACCTATTTGTCTACTTGCACTGGCGTGCTTTCGAACTGCTAGGTTGGCAGGAGCTGGGACAGAGCAGCAGGAGCTCACCAGTGTCACACGGATTCAAACTGCCGACCTTCTGATAAGCAAGCCCAAGAGGCTCAGTGGTTTAGACCACAGTGCCACCTAAGAGGTGCTTCTAACCCAGAGGTACCCAAATGTGGAGGTGCTTCAGAAGCTGCTAGACTCACATTTTCCCTGACAGGTGACCATGTTTGCTGAAGCTGATGGGAGTCTGCTCCCAGACTTTGGAACTCCCTCCCTGGAGAAGCTAGACCAGGGGTCAGCAAACTTTTTCAGCAGGGGGCCGGTCCACTGTCCCTCAGACCTTGTGGAGGGCCGGACTATATTTTTTTTTGGGTTCCTATGCCCTACAAATAACCCAGAGATGCATTTTAAATAAAAGGACACATTCTACTCATGTAAAAACACGCTGATTCTGGGACTGTCCGCAGGCCGGATTTAGAAAGTGACTAGGCCGGATCTGGCCCCCGGGCCTTAGTTTGCCTACCCATGAGCTAGACTGCCTCCCTCCTTGCTGTCTTTCCCCTGGCAGGTAAAGACTGTTATTCCAACAGGCTTTTGGGAACTGACTGCCTTTTAGGAAAGGGCTTTTCGTTTGTCTGTCTGTTTCTGCTATCAGTGTTTTAAGAGCTTTGCATTTACATTCCATTACAGTTTACCCTTTAGCCATTATCTTTTCTATGTTTCTATGTGTTATGTGTGCTTAGCTAGCTGCCCAGATCACTTGGCAAGAGTGCGGCGATGATCATGCCAAGGTCGTGGGTTTGACCCCATACAGGTCCTCCTGCACTGCACGGGGGCTGGACTAGAGGACCTCTATGGGGCTCCCTTCCAACTCTACACTGCTAAGATTCTATCTGCGTTTGTTTTAAACTTCTGTGGGTTGCCTTGAATTTTGGTTCTGAGAAAAGGTGGGATAAAATGAAACTAATACAGTCATACCTCAGGTTACAGACGCTTCAGGTTGCATTTTTTCAGGTTACGGACCGTTGAAACCCGGAAGTACTGAAACGGGTTAATTCCGGGCTTCGGCGATCATGCTTTGCGCATGCACAGAAGCGCTGAATCGCAACCCGCGCATGCGCAGACACACAGCTGCGGGTTGCGAATGTGCTTCCCGCATGGATCACGTTCGCAACCTGAGTATCCACTATAATCAATTCATTAGGAAATAATAATAATAATAATAACAATAATAATAATAATAATAATTAAGTAAAAAATGTAAAGAAGACAAAAGGCTACATTAATGCCTGGGTCAGACTACTGGTCTATCTAGCCCAGCTGTCCAGGATCCCCAACAGAGAGGGTCTTCCCCAACCCTACCTGGAGAGACAGGGACTCAAACCTGGGACCCTCCCCATGCAAAAGGTGAGCTCTGCCACTGGGTGTCAGGCTTCAGGGAATCCGATCCCTCCCCTGCTGGCAGCCAGCAAGGAGATGAACAAGAGTTCTTACCAAGTAATTTATTCCATAGTTCACAGAGAGATACAAAAGAATGCAGCCTCCCTAAAATAATGGCGTTGCTCTGAATAAAATCCCACCCGCTCCATCTCTCCTATCCTATGTCATCCCTGCGACGGCTAATCTGAGCTTTCTGCCTCTGAGCCTTCTGTTCTCCTACCCTCAATGCCCGCCGGGTCCTGGGAGGGGGGGGTCAGGAATGCTCTCCAAGGACACCGAGTCTGTCAGCTGCCTCTCCCCAGTGCTTCGTCTTCTTCCTGCCCCTCTCCCAATATTTCCCAGCTTCTCCCCTCTGCAGCCTCTGAACTATGCCCTTCTGCAAACCACTGTTCTAAATCTATACTGTCCTCCTGTTCTTGGGAAGGTTCAGGAGAAGAGGCAGGTGGCCTCCACCATTCCTCCTCTGTCCAGCCACTGACACTGGGCTGCAAGACCAATTCCTTGAGATCTCCTGCCATCTCGAGCAAGATGTTTCTTCCAGCCTTGACTCACCTGGTTATGATTATCCACCACCACGAGGTGGCGCAAGCCCAGGGCCCGGAACAACTTGTAAACCCTTGTTAGGGTGGCTTCCTGCAAACCGGGGAAATCATATTAGACAAGAGAAAGGCAATGAGTTCCCCACCCCCACCCCAGTAAAACGAAAACAACACAGGATGCTGTTACGGGACGAGGAAGCCCTCGTCACCAGCAGCATCCCTCCCTTGAGATGCCTTCAAAGCAATAGATGTTGCCGCCCTCAACCCGGTCCTACCAAGGGCACGGTGTAAGGTGAGGGGTTCATGAATTCGGTCAGGTCCATCATGCACTCGCGCTCGTCCTGGGAGACGTGGATCGACTGGATGGGGGGGAAGCGGGGGTAGGCGTCCCGGAAGTCCTTCAGCTTCAGCCGCCGCTGCACCAGGGACAGGTTGGCTCTCTCCACGAAGACCTAAAAGGGGGTCAGGCATGGTGGTGGCACAGGGCAAACGGACAGGGATGCCCGCTAGCCCAGGCTTGCTGCCCTCTTCCCTGGGGTTCCCCCAAGTCCTCCTGCTGCCTGGGGGACCCTCCCATCCTGCAGAGAGGGTTGACTCCAACCGCACCGCAACTTGAAACCAAATGTTGGATTAGGCGAAAACGTGCCTCTTCAACCAGGCCTCGGGCTGATTTAAAAAGGGGCATCGGATGTCAATGCTTTGCGGGAGGGGAGGGGGGCTTATTTGTTTGTTTTGGTCTTTTTTATTATGCATTTTGTGTTTATTTATATTGTGACTTTATGTTACAAACCGCCCCGAGATCTACGGATAAAGGGTGGTATACAATTTTAATAAAATTGTTGTTGTTTGTTGTTGTTGCAGCTACTGGACTCTCTCCCACAGGGAGACAGTGATGGCCACCAACCTGGATGGGTTTTTAAATTATTATTATTTTATTATTATTATTATTATCATCATCATCATCATCATCATCATCATCATCATCATCATCTCTCCCACAGGGAGGCAGTGATGGCCACCAACCTGGATGGGTTTTTTATATTATTATTATTATTGTTATTGTTATTATTATTAATTAAACTAGCATACCATCCTTCATCCATAGATCTCGGGGCTGTGCTCTCCATTAAAAGGCAAGATAAAAACACCCAAAATACATAAGAACAAGAACAAACTGGGCCAATCGATGGAAGGCTTCTGCCCATCATTGCTATGCTCTGTCTCCATAATCGGAGGCAGCAATTCTTCTAAATGTTGTTTGCTGGGAACCACAGGAGGGGAGAGGGCTCTTGTGCTCGGGGGTTTCCCACAGGCATCTCGTTGACCACAGCGAGAACAGGATGCTCCCCTTACGTTCTTGCGACTTCTGTTTGTGCACTGGATATTCCCTTCTGCCTCCTCACACCACACACACCCCAAATCTGTTCTGGAGGGTTGGGGGGAACCCCAGGAGTAGATGGGTTAAGAGGCGTGCAGAGGAAAAGGAGGGGGAGCTCCGCCACCACAACCAGAAGTCGTTTTGCTCACGCAGAGACTTTAAGTCACATACGACCCAGAGAAGCCGACCAGTCTGGCAGCAGAGCAGGAGTGGGGAACCTGCGCCCCAATCCAGGTGTTGCTGGACTACAACTCCCATCATCCTAACCACGCTGGCTGGGGCTGATGGGAATTGTAGTCCAACAACATCTGGAAGGGGGTCCAGGTTCCCCATTCCCTGCAGTGCTTTGTTTGTTTTTATTTAACCAAATTTATGTACCGCTTGATTATAGGGAAGAACTTCAAGCGGCTTCCAATATATATTCAAATTATCGATAACAGTCATTAAAAACAGTAAAATTAACAGTAAAAGAAACTGAAACATGCCAGAGGAGATGCTCTGTGACTGAGCCGCGGCCCTCACCTTGTGCTTCAGGAGAACAATCAGCTGGGAGCGCAGGATCAGGCCTCGCAGTCCCGCTGCCTGCAAGGAGAGAGGCTGTCATTGGGGTGCCTCTTGTGTAGAACTCTCTTGGCCCCAACAATTCCCCACCCATCCTTTCCACATGATTTTAGACACCAGGAAGGACAACCAGGCATTTAAACATCTGGGCTGCTGCTGTTGTTTCCCCTGGAGCTTATTTCAGAATTAGTTTGTTGTCATTTTGTGGTTTTCTTCGCTCAGAATTATAAACCTGCAAGTACACTGTACGAGCGATGGGCATCAATCTGGTAAATTGAAGATCATGGGTTCAAACCCCACCTGTGCCTCAAAAAATTGAAGAGTTGTTACCTTGCCCTGGTGGGCATGCAAGACAGATACTAAAAAGAAGGGGCTTGTTTTCCCAAGGCACTGTAGTGCAGTGGTTAGAGTAATACACTACGACCTGGGAGACCAGGGTTCGAATCCAGCCATCCAGCCATGAAGCTCACTGGGTGTGTGACCTTGGGCCAGTCACCATCTCTCAGCCTGACCTACCACACAGGGCTGTTGGGAGATTAAAACGGGACACTGAGCTCCTTGGAAGACAATGCCAGTGCATAAATGTAATAAGTAAGACAATACCTAATACATCTTATGAACACATGTACTCATTTCACTCAAGTTCTACAAGTGGGCCTTAAAAAATGTAGGAGGCTGCATTAGCCGGACCTTTGCTCCATCTAGCCCAATACTGTCGACACTGGCAGTCAGAAATGGCCTTCCAAAGGTGTCAAACTGGGGCTTTCCCCAGCCCTACCTGGCGATTGGACCTGGGACGATCTATGTGAGAAGCAGGTGCCCTCTGCTGAGCCATGGCCCTTTCCTAACCTTTTCTCCAAGAAACAGGGTTCCGAGTATCAAGGCACCCAAGTCAGTTCCCTCTGCCCTACCTGATCGCTGCCTGGAATGCTCTCCACCACAGGGAACCCATTGTGGTTGGACGACGTATCGCTGAGGATGTCCACAATGACGCCCACTTTCTCAATCCTTCGGAGGGAGGTCACCGGGGTGCTCATCACTTCTCTGCAGGGGGGGGGGGGGAATGAAACAACACACAGAGATCACATTAAAAGCCCACAGAGGGGAGGAGTGTGGACTGCAGGGCCTTCTCTGTGGTGGCCCCCTTCGTTGTGGAATTTCCTTCCACACACAAAGAGGAGCACCTGGCTTCTCCGGTACACAGCTTTCGGATAATGCTGAAGACACAGATCTGTTACCCTGGCCTTTTGACTCGGCCCCCTACACTCCCTCTTTAAACAAGCCCCTTTGTTCATTGTCATGGGGACTAGCATCTTGCTTTGCTGTTGCAGGAAGGTCTTAGAGCTCATGCCTTGCACTCATAAGGTCCTAGGTTCAGTTCCCAGCATCCCCAGGCAGGGATGGGAAAACATCCCCCACCTGAAAGCTCAGTGAGTTTGATGGTCCAATGTTCTCACTTGGTATAAGACAACTTCCCAGATTAAAACATACAAAGAATGAGGTCTCCCTGAATTTGTCAGGGTCAGATTCGGGTTGTGTGCTTTCGGGACTCGATTCCTGCGACTGTTATTTGTTTCAACGCTGGATTTTAAAACGCTGCAACCCCGCTGCTGATGTAGGGTGTGATGATATATTTAAGAACAGTAATACCACCACCAGCACTTTCGGGTTTTTCGATACACTGAGAACCCGTACAAACCCTGCTGCGGCCTGATCCTGTCAGCTTACCTGGCGGTAAACGAGTGGGATGTGACAGGGGCTTCCCAGTGCAGGAAGGGAACACTCTGAAGCTGGATGTGCATGTCATACAAACCCTGGAAAGAGAAGAAATTGTGAGCTGGGGCACATCTGGTGGGCAGGGCCAGATATAGGTTTGGTGAGGCGTTAAGCTACTGAAGGTAATGGGGTCCTTTATATGCCCAGCTGTCCTTTGTCAACAACAAATTCTACGGGTACCAGAGAGGACCCGCAAGTGGGATAAACAGTCTTAAGCTTACAAATCAACAATAAAACTTTTTTTTGGTCCATTTTACCGTATGTCTGTTTCAGCAGCGATATTGTAAAAGCCCATTTTTGTAAGTTTGCAAATTTAAGCTGCACTTTTAACTTTTCACGGTCAGAATTTGCGAAAATAGTGTGGCTTATATTCAGGCCAATACAGTAATATGTACAGAAGGCTGAGGAAACTTTCCCAGCCTGAAGGCTGCATTGCCTAGTGGGCAGTCTACTGGGGGCATAATGTCCCTGGTTTGCGGAGCTAGAGGTTAAAGTGGCAGAATGATGGCTGTGACCCTTACCCAGGGCTGGATTGAGGTTTGATGAGGCCCTAAGCGACTGAAGGTAATGGGGCCCTTTATATGTCCAGCTCTCCTTTGTCAACAACAAATTGTCACTGTATGCTATATGGTAATTTATTTTCTTAAATCTGAGTCCTCCAAAAGAGGGGACATCTTACACACAGGGGCTTGTTATACACAGAAAAATACGGTAGCTGGTTCACAGAGTTTGGCCTTTCCTGGGGCAGAATGTATTTGTTAAGAATTATATCAGGCCTTTCCCCTGGGCTAACCAACCAACCACTAAACCAAGCAGTGCCATGCAGAATGAAACATGGAATATATAAAACCTCCAGGCCTGTCCTGTCCTCTGAGTCACAAGAACAGCCCTGCTGGGTCGGACCAAGGCAGGGGAATCTAACCCTGAAACCCTCTTTTCACTGCAACCAGTAACAGGCCTCCACGAAGCCCCCTTCAGGACACAGAGGCAATTCTGCCCCGTCGAATGCTGCTCCCCAGCAACTGGCGTTCCGTGGTAGAGTCCCCCTGGAGAGGGAGGTTCTAGGTGGCTGGCACGACCAGCAGCCACAGGCAGACCCTCACCTCGACAAAATAATCCCCCACAATCTTGGCCGTCATCAGCACCAGCATGATTGGGAAGCCGTAGGTGACGTTGCCTGTCGCCTCCATCATGATAACCGTCAAGCTGAGCGTCATCCTCACAATGCCCCCTAGGAAGACAAGACTGGGTTGGACCTCAAGGATGGCCTCTCCCCATATGAACCAACCCGGACCCTGGGATCATCCTCTGAGACCCTTCTTTGTGTGCCTCCTCCTCGGGAGGTCCGGAGGGTGGCAACATGAGAATGGGCCCAGGACCTCCATAGGCCACTGTCCAGGCTTGCACCTGCTAACACAGAGGTTTGACTTCACCCCCGGAAGCGCACTCCATTGTCTCTCGAGGCAGACAAAGGTAAAGGGACCCCTGACCGTTAGGGTTGTGGCGCTCATCTCACTTTATTGGCCGAGGGAGCCGGCGTACAGCTTCCGGGTCATGTGGCCAGCATGACAAAGCCACTTCTGGTGAACCAGAGCAGCGCACAGAAACACAGTTTACCTTCCCGCCGGAGCGGTACCTATTTATCTACCTGCACTTTGATGTGCTTTCAAACTGCTAGGTTGGCAGGAGCAGGGACCGAGCAACGGGAGCTCACCCCGTCAGGGGATTCGAACCACCAACCTTCTGATCAGCAAGTCCTAGGCTCTGTGGTTTAACCCACAGCGCCACCCGCGTCCCCTCGAGGCAGGTAGATGCCCACAAATCAGTAATGTGTGCTATTTTAAGAACATGTCTTAATGTGTTTTATGTTTCAACAGGAATATGTTTTGATTTTATGAATCCAATTATTATTTAATTTTTTTGATTTCTAATTTCAAACAGTGAGGAGTGGTTCCTGTTATCTGCTTTAAATTTCATTAGCTCCCCTCGTGCTGCTGTGGCCTTCGAAATAATGCAATGCGTGGTTTTTTTGTTCATACTGAGCTACTGTCCTTCCTCAGAGCGAACCTGTAATTAGTGCCATAGCCGTTTTAAAAGAGCAGGACCTTTCTGAAGTGAAAAGGTTCTTTAAAAAAGACTGAACGGCTAAACCAGCAGTGAAAAAGCTGGTTGGACTCCAGCTCCCATCGGCCCCAGCCAGTGTGGCCAATGGTGAAGGATGATGGGTGTTGTAGTCCGATAGCTGGAAGGCCAGAGGTTTCTCATCCTTGTGCTAAATAGACACAAAGCAGATATAGCTCATTGTAATCTAATCTAATCTAATCTACTGTATTTTTCCATGTATAAGACTGTTTCCCCCCAATTTTTTAAAATTTAAAATTGGGGGTCAACTTATACACAGAATGTTGCAATTAAATATATACCGTATTTTTTGCACCATAACACTCACTTTTTTCCTCCTAGAAAGTAAGGGGAATTGTCTGTGCGTGTTATGGAGCGAATGCCTGCGGGTGGCGGAGGGGGATCTGCTGCAGTCGTGAGCAGAGGATCCATGGTTCCCCTTCCTTCCCTCCTCCGTGGTTACAAAGCATGGATCCACATGGATCCTCAGGATTTTTGCATTGGGCTACTCCAAACTCACTGTCAGATCACATGTCTGTGGCCACAGTATGAACCACAAAAATCATATATCCACTATTTCGTTTAGAATTTTTTCTTCTTGTTTTCCTCCTCTAAAAACTACGTGCGTGATATGGTCTGGTGCGTGTTATAGAGCGAAAAATACGGTAAATTTATTTCTTAATTTTGGGCTCAAAAAATAGGGGTCGTCTTAGAGTTCCCTGGGAAGAGGAACTGAGTGTTAAACCACTCTTGGGAATCACAGCTCTGTGAGGAGAACAGAATTCTTCTAACAAAGCATCCCTTTATAAGCCATAACTCCCAGGGTTATTATTATTATTTGCAGAAGGAGCCATGATTGTTTAAAGCAAGATGAGGATGCTTAAATGCATGGTGCAGACGGGGCCCAGGAAAGAAAGTTCAGTTAAAGGGTTAAAGCCTGAGCTGCACCGTCCCACTGGGGCAAGACCCACCTTCCCACTTCCCAATAAGCTGAGCACCTTTCTCCTCCCTGCCCCAGACATGTATCACTCACCCAGCTGTGCCGCGGCTCCCATCAAGGCATACTTCCCTGGGTCGGCCCAGATCTGAAAGCCCCAAGAGAGAGGAACAGTCAACGTTCAGGATAGCGGGACTAAGCAGGAGGTCGGAGGGTCTCCGCTCCAGGCCCCCTCCCTCCCCAATTCACTGGAGAAATGGACCTTTCGCACCGTAAACAGCAGTAACCAACTGGGGCATGGCATCTGCCCCCTACTCGCCTAGACCGGTGGTGGTGGATCTCTAGGCCAAGGGAACGGTTAGGTGTCATGGACAGGCTGGAGGCAGGGGACAGGGAGGGGGGCACCAGCTGGGGAACCCCCAGGGGAAGAAGGCTGGCTTGCCACCCATCTGACTGGGTTGCCCCAGCCACTCTGGGTGGCTCCCAACAAAATATTAAAAACACAACAAAGCCTCAAGCATTAAAAAAACACTCTCTCTGTACAGGGCTGCCTTCAGAATGCCTTCTGAAAGTCAGATAGTTGTTTATCTGCTTGATATCTGACAGGAGGGCGTTTCACGGGGCGGGCACCACTGCTGAAACTGCTCTATTCCGAACTTAAAAACAGAAAGCGTAATGCCAACAAAAGGGGTTCAATGACTCTCTCAAAAAATGTAGTATAAACACCGGCAACAGGGAAACACTGGCCTGCGAGCGCTCCGATTGGAGAATAGCCTTTGCCAAAGGTGCTTTGAAGATGCTCAAACTCAGGACGAAAGGGAGAAACGCGCTAAGAAGAAGGCACGCTTGGCAAACCCTCACCGTGATCGACTCCTGCCCGGAAACCTATGTCCCCACTGTGGAAGCACGTGTGGATCCAGAATCTGCCTCCACAGTCACTTACGGACTCACTTTTAAAACTGCGTTCATGGAAGACAATCTTATTTGGCTACGAGGGATCGCCAGATAAGAAGACGACGACCACTACTGAGAAGACCCTCTGCCTGGTTCCCTGTAACCTCATTTCTCGCAGTGAGGGAACTGCCAGGAGGCCCTTGGAGCTGAAAAGCTTCCACTTCTTCTTCCTGGCAAAGATCAAACGCCCTCCGTCTCCCCAGCTCCCCTCCCACCCGTGAAAACCAGGGGCTTGTTTTCAGCAAAGGTTCTTCAGACCGTAATGGAGTGGGCGGGTGGGGGGAAGAGGATTGAGACCACAAGGTGAGGGCAACTTACCCAGCCGCTGGTCATGTAGGAGAGAGAGATGCCAAAGAGGCGGCCCCAGGCAGCCCCGATCAGCAGGGAGGGGATGAAGACGCCTGCCGAAACTGTTAGCCCGTAGGTCCAACAAGCCAGGAAGAAGTACATCAAGGTGAAGAGCCCCAAAGTCATGGGGTCGTACGTGCCTAAGAGGGAGAGCAAAGAGCATCACTCCCCACAACCTGGGACCAGCAGCAAGATTCGCTCAGCAATGCGGCAGGGTGCTCCCACCTTATTACAGGGGGCATGCATTTTAGCCCTTCAGCAAAGCAGGTCTCAAGAGGCATCTTTGGGGTTTTCCTGGTTCCAGAAATTGGTTAAAGCCATGTTTCCCAAACTTGGGTCTCTAGCTGGTTTTGGACTACAACTCCTATCAGTGAGTTGTAGAACCAGTGGTCAGGGGTTATGGGAACTGTAGTCCCAAAACAGGTTGAGACCCAAGTTTGGGAAACACAACGACATAAACTCTCAAAACATCGACAAATAATACTTATCCACTCTTAACAATTACAATAATTACTGAACTACGATCAATAAAAAATAACTGCAAGTCACAATGCATAAAATACAGTAATACCTTGGATTTCGAACGCCTTGGCTCCCAAACAATCAAAACCCGGAAGTGAGTGTTCCGGTTTTTGAATGATTTTCGCAAGCTGAACGTCCGTCGTGGCTTCCGATTGGCTGCAGGAGCTTCCTGCAGCCAATCAGAAGCCGCACTTTGGTTTCTGAATGTTTTGGAAGTCAAATGGACTTCCGGAACGGATTCCGTTCGACTTGCAAGGTACGACTGTATCACAATACATCTAAAACATGTCCAAATCACCCTAACCTTCCCTGTGATAATACCATAGCTGTCAACTTTTCCCATTTCTTGCAAGGAATCCAATTTGGAATAAGGGAATTTCCCTTTAAAAAGGGGAAACGTTGACAGCTATGGATAATAGCCGCTAGGGCAGCTCTATGTGCCTTTCCTAATTAAAACATTGTGTGCAGCAAAACAAATCATGGACTTGGGAACAAATCCCAAGCTGGGCTCTAGGGTACTGTGAAAAGAAAATTCAATTCCTTCATCCGGCTCCTCTGCCACAGGAACATCAGGTAAAGCCTTTATAGAGGAGGAAAGCCAAGGACTGTTGCAAGCCCCCTGCCGTCCCGTTTTAGATTTCAGGAATGCACATTTAGGCTAAACGTTTGGAGGGGGCGGGAGGAAGGAGAAGAGACTCATTAACTGTGGGAGCAGATTAAGCGATGGAACAAGTTGCATCTCCCACAGAGCTGGAGAGAGATCTCCTTCTCCGGAGGCATGCAAGGAAGGACCAGGCAGGTTGGGAAATAATACAATCTAAAAGCAAATGAAACCTACCTCAAATACAACCCCCCCCCACAACAATTCACAGTAATTCAGGTAGATTACATAAATTTCCAGGCCCAATTCAAAGTGCTGGTTTTGACCTATAAAGACTGTAAAAGGGGTGGCTATAGGAATGGACAACAAGAAGTGAAGGATGAAATGGATATTAATGAAGAGTTGATGTGGCTACAAGAGAAAAAGATGGACATATGATAAAATTTGGAAAACCAATAAAAATAATTTGGGGGAAAAGACTGTGCTCAGAAGATAGATAGATAGATAGATAGATAGATAGATAGATAGATAGATAGATAGATGATAGATAGATAATTATTGTTTGTCTGTGTATCCATCTAAACATGCTGTCACCAAAATCAGTGGGGTCTTGTTGGGAGGGGGGAATAACATTTGCTGGTCGTGGAGCTGGATTTAGGCCCTGAGACAGGAACTAGCCAACCCTGCTACAGAATATTAGGAAGAATACATCCCCCCATCGATTGGCGATGGTTGGACGCTGCTAGTTGGGGAGCAACCGACCTGGGGGGTCATGAAAAAGGCGGACGACACTCTTCTCTGGTGTGTTGAAGAAGGCGGCAGCCATAGAGTTGTATTCGCCATCAGGACAGAAGAGCTGGCGGGGAGAGAAGTCGTGTTACTGCAGGTAAAGTAAAAAGGAAAAAAGAAGGAAAAGAAAAGAAAAAAGAAGTGGGGGTCCAACACCACAGGCCACTGTTCCTTACGAGCACTGGATTCTATTATTATTATTATTATTATTATTATTATTATTATTATTATTATTATTATTATTATCATCATCATCATCATCATCATCATCATCATCATTATACCAGCCTATACCTGGAGGTCTCAGGGTAGTTCACAGAAAAGATCACAACATATATAATCAGAATAAAAACAACAACCCAATAAGAGCCACATTTTAAAAGGGTCTAGGATGTCAAACAGAACAACCAAAGGCCTGGTTGAAAAGGAACGTTTTTGTCTGGTGGGCACCAGTTGAACATCCCTGGGGAAAGCATTCCACGGATGGGGAGCCACTGCAGAGAAGGCCCGTTCTCGTGTTGCCACCCCCCCCCGGACCTCCTGAGGAAGAGGCACACAAAGAATGGCCTCAGAAGATGATCTCAGGGTCCGGGTAGGTTCATATGGAAAGAGGTGGTCCTTGAGGTATTGCAGTCCTGAGCCGTTTAACATCTGGGGCAGGGAACGGCTCAGAGATTTGGCTTGAGAAGGGCTTGCAAATAAACCCAGGGGTGTTATCAAACCGCAAATGTGTGTACCAGCCTGCTGTCCTCTCGTAAAAGCGCTGCTCACTTATGAAAGGAAGAGCCGTTCCCCCACACCCCAAACAAACACACACACATTTTCAAAAGCTTCTCTGCATGATACCAGAGAGGTAAAGCTTTGCTTGCCAAAGCTACATACAAACTTGGGCTCACTGCCAGGGGCAGTGGCTGCGCCACTTTGCCAGCTGGATGCGCCCAGCATCTCACCAACAGCGGCTAGCTCCCATTGGGCTGAAAGCAGGGTGACGGACAGCAGGGGGAGCCACAGAAAACAACAGCAGCAGATGACTAATTCCGGTATTGTCCGCCATCTTCCTCCCTGCCGCGCTCTACAAGGGCAAGGCTGAAGTCGTGTGTACACATTGCGCCTTGAAAACACATCCGGAACACATTTTTGCCTTCAGAGAATTCTGCGCACTGTAGTTTGCCCCTCACAGAGTTACAGCTCTCAGAGACCCTTAACTAGGGCCAGGGCCTTTTCAGTACTGGCCCCAACTTGGTGGCATGCTCTGTCCCAAGAGACTGGGGCCCTGAGGGACTTGACATCTTTCCGCAGGGCCTGCAAGACAGAGCTGTTCTGCCTGGCCTTTGGTTTGGACTCAGTCTGACCCTTACGTTTCCCTCCCCTTATGGTTTTGATCTATGGGCTACTTTTAAAATGAGGCTGCATTTTAAATTGCATATTAACCTGTATTTTAAATTGGTGTTTTGTTTCCTATTATGTTTTTACTGTAATTTTACTTAGCCGCTCTAAGCCTGGCTCTGGCCGGGGAGGGCAGGGTATAAATAAAATATTATTATTATTATTATTATTATTATTATTATTATTATTATTATTACTAAAAAAACTCACAATACCCAAAATTCTTTGAGGGAAAGAAAGTGCTTTAAGGGCACAGTGTTGAGACGAAGCTGAAGGAAACTCATTTCCTTTTTGTGAGCGAAGAGAGAGGCGTGTGGGGTCCAGTTGACAGAAGACTGAACTTGGTGAGAAGGTGCCTAACGGACCTGCCTCCACTTCTCTCCTGCCTCAAGCCCCCGTTGCCCAAAGGCATCCATTCTGGGAGGCAGCCGGCACCCACAGTCCCCCTCTGCCACTCGTTTCCCACCTGGAGTGAGTAGGCCATGCCACTGCCTTGCAGGGGCTGGCAGTCTGCCGAGGTGTAGATCATGACAAAGGCCACAGCCGCTGTCACAGCGCCCACCAGCATGGCCTCGATGACCTGCAGGCACGGCCGGTGGATATACCTGGGGAGTTTGAAGAAAAGAAAAAACACAAGGGGTTAGGGAGCAGGGCCGGCCCAACGCATTTTGCCACCTGAGGCAACGGACAAGATGGCAGCCCCTTCTCCCATCATCCAGCCCGGACACTGAGATCCAGCGCTGATGGCCTTCTGGCTGTTCCCTCGCTGCGAGAAGTGAGGTTACAGGGAACCAGGGAGAGGGCCTTCTTGGTGGTGGCGCCTGCCCTGTGGAACGCCCTCCCAGCAGATGTCAAGGTAATAAACAACTATTTTACTTTTAAAAGACACCTGAAGGCGGCCCTGTTTAGGGAAGTTTTTAATGTCTGACGCTGTATTCTTTTTGATATTTGGTTGGAAGCCGCCCAGAGTGGCTGGGGAGACCCAGTCAGATGGGTGGGGTATAAACATTAAATTATTATTATTATTATTATATTCCGATTCCAAATATGGAAGCCAACTGGATCTTGCTTCGAGACTGGCGAGAGAGGAGCACCCTCCATCAGTCACTTGGGGGGCCAGTCACTGACGCTCAGCCTAACCAACCTCACAGGGTTGTTCTGAGGATTAAATAAGGAATGAGAGGTGTGTGCATCTCAACTTGAGCTCCTTGGAGGAGAGGTGAGAGGCAAATGTAATAATAAAAAACTGAGTTAAGGAGATGAGTGGCAGCCTGTGATTCATTCCATCTGTTTCCAACAGGTACACACACACACACAAACACACCCCACACAGTCCCAGAACTGTAAGTCCTAAAAAGGAGTTCCTGCCCAGGCACTTCGGTTATTTCCTTTAGCTAAAAATTAAGATGGCCTTTCTCCAGACCTGGTTGCTTTCCAGCAAGGTGGGCGGCTGCAGAGCTGAGCTCATTTGCTCCCGTAAAAGCAACCCTCGCCCCAAAAGGGAAGCCATCTGGGGAAAATAAGCCTGACAAAGGCAGAAGTGTGCCAGACTTTATAAAAAAGAAGAAGAACGCAAACGAAAGTACTATCGCAGGTTTCCGGCTCAAACTAGCATCCAGGCAGGAATGTGAAGCAGCCTCTGAAATGCTGGTTCAGCCAAATTCTGGGTGGCTCAGCTCAGCGACGCCTGTGAATGGAGCTAAGCTCCGAACCCTGTGTCAAAAGAAAGGGCCCGGCGCTGTCAAAAGCTGAAATGCAAAGCCTTTTAAAGAGGCACCCATTGTTGGACGTGCAGCAGTTGGCTTGAGCCATCCTGCAATGGGTTTTACTCCAGTCCTTGCCCTGGGTCTGAAGTTTGCTGCTTGTTATATTCCGGGTTACCTTCTGCCAGGGTTTTTACCTGATGCGGAACATCGTCAGCCAGTAGTTCAAGGCGTTGAACATGGCTCCAAGAACTCCACCTGCAGGCAGGAGGAAGAAAAACACCTGACAATAGGTCTTGACAGAGTCAGAGCAAAGAACCAGCCGCTCAAAACCACACAAATCAGGACGGAGGAAATTAGCAGTGTAGGTTGCAGAAATCCCATAACTCTCTCTTTGGGGCAGCTGTGTATAAATGATGCATCTGACTGGGATGAAGGCAAGGTGGAGAACAGTTTTGCAAAGGATATCCTCTACATTTCCACTCTGCTGTTAGATCATGAAAATCCTACGCCCACCCCAGACATAGGGTCATGTCTTCCCCCTCCATCTCCCCTTCTTCTGGGGCTCACAGTAAGCCAGCAAATCCCCCCAAGTTCCACAGAGGAAAGTTCTTTATTGTGTGCAGGGGCCGAGGTATTAAGGAATTAAGTTCTTTGCCAGATGCTGGAATCTCTGCAGAAATGCAGAGGATTGTGGAGTCAACAGAGCACAGAGGAGTTTTGCCCTGTGAAAAGACAGGCACAGAGAAAGGACTGCACGCCCCAAAATGGCCTTTGGGCTGATAACAGACACAGCTCCTTTCTAGCTGTTGACCATGACAGATTTGCTGCTGCATTACTGGTGGAACTTATTTCTTTTTTAAAAAAAGGGGGGGCCCACATGCACACTCCCCCAACCTCGGAGTAACATCTGCGGAAGGGATCGATGCACAAACAGGGAAGTCACATTATCGTATTGCTTAAATAGGAGCGCTTACCCACCACTCCCATGAATATGAAGATTGGGATTTCTTGAAAAGTGTACCCCATCTTCTGCAAAAGGAAGAAAGAAAGCAGGTGTGAGCTCTGGAAACTGTGACAGCAGTAAAGCAGCTCAAGGACGGGACTGCCTTCTACTGCGCCACCATGTTTTCACAATATCATAGAACTGCAGAGCTGGAAGGGACACCCGAGGGTCATCTAGACCAACCCCCTGCAATGCAGGAATCTTTTCCCCGGAGGATGGGACTCAAACCCACGACCCTGAGGTTAAGAGTCTTGTGCTCTACCAAATGAGCTATTGGGAACATAGGAAGCTACCTTAAGCTGACGCAAGCCCATTGGTGCCACTTAGCCTACACTGACTGGCAGCAGCTCTCCAGAGTTTCAAGAAGGGGACAATACCCCATACACATACACACACACACACACACACACACACACTTTTCAATTTAACAACAATAATCTTCCTTTACATTTGTATCCCTCATTTCGACTTCTTACAGGGAACCAGGCAGAGGGCCTTCTCGGTAGTGGCACCCGCCCTGTGGAAGGCCCTCCCACCACATGTCAAAAAGAACAACAACTACCAGACTTTTAGAAGACATCTGAAGGCAGCCCTGTTTAGGGAAGCTTTTAATGTTTAATAGATTATTGTATTTCAATATTCTGTTGAAAGCACCCCAGAGTGGCTGGGGAAACCCAGCCAGATAGGCGGGGTATAAATAAATATATTATTATTATTATTATTATTATTATTATTATCATCATTATCATCATCATCCTCATCCTCCTCCTCCTCCTCCTCTCCACTCCTTCTCTGGTTACGTAGAGAATTCGTGTGTGGAGGCCAGAGGAGGCGGCAGCAGAAGAAGCAAAGCTTCGAACGGGCGTTGCCTTTTACCTCAGAGTCAAACCGGCCGAAGTTGATGAGTCCAGGGCTGGACAGGTCCCAGGGATTCCCTTTGTAAATGCTCAGGATGGAGTTCAGGGTGAAGGTGGAGATCATGGAGGCAAAGAACTGCAGAGAGAGAGAGGAGCGGTGAGGAGCATGCCCAGAGTCAGTCAGTCCGCCGAGGACTCGCCTTGCAATCCCCACTCCCCGCCACACTCGGAAGCCCCCCAGACTCACAATCCTCCAGGTCAGGAACTGGTTCCAAAAGGAAGCGCCTTCCTCCAAGCTGAACAGGACACCACCTGGTGGAAGGGAAAGGCAGAGCCAGTGAGACTTGGCTTGTCCGCCCAGAGGCAGGAGCTGAGCGGCTCAAGGTAGGAACACCAGGCGCTGATTCAGAACGGGCCTTTTCTGTGGTGGCTCCCTGTCTGTGGAATGCTCTCCCCAGGGAGGTCTGTCTGGGGCCTTCATTGTACACGTTTAGGCACCCCACGAAAACGTTGCTCTTTAACCAGGCCTTTGGCTGATCGACATCTAATGCCCTTTTAAATGGATTACAGTCATACCTCATGTTACGTTTGCTTCAGGTTGTATGTTTTCAGGTTGCGTCCTGTGGCAACCCGGAAGTACCAGAAAGGGTTACTTCCAGGCTTTGCTGCTCGCACATGCGCAGACGCGCAAAACGACATAATGCGCAGAAGCGACGAATCGCGACCCGCGCATGCGTAGACGCGGGTTGCCTTCCTTTCAGGTTGCGAATGGGGCTCCAGAACGGATCCCGTACGCAACCAGAGGTACCACTGTATTGGTTGTTTCTGTTATTATACTTATTGTGTATTTTGTGGTTTTTATATTGTAATTTTATTTTGTGAAACACCCTGTGATCCGCAGGTATAGGGCAGCATACAATTAATGACAACAACGACAACAACAATTTATGGCTGTGTAATCGGAGGGGAAAACCATGGTTTTCCCCGTAGTGATGTATGGAAGTGAGAGCTGGACCATAAAGAAGGCTGATCGCCGAAGAATGGATGCTTTTGAACGATGGTGCTGGAGGAGACTCTTGAGAGTCCCATGGACTGCAAGAAGATCAAACCTCTCCATTCTGAAGGAAATCAGCCCTGAGTGCGCACTGGGAGGACAGATCCTGAAGCTGAGGCTCCAAGACTTTGGCCACCCCATGAGAAGAGAAGACTCCCTGGAAAAGACCCTGATGTTGGGAAAGATGGAGGGCGCAAGGAGAAGGGGACGACAGAGGATGAGATGGTTGGACAGTGTTCTCGAAGCTACCAGCATGAGTTTGACCAAACTGCGGGAGGCAGTGGAATACAGGAGTGCCTGGTGTGCTCTGGTCCATGGGGTCACAAGGAGTCGGACACGACTAAACAACAACAATCGGAGGGGGGTGCCTTCTTAAACCTAGATAACGAGGCGCTGGGCTTTGGGAAGGAGGTGCGAGGCTCTGGCAGGGTCTTAAGAGTTTCCCCGGCTCTCTATTTATTCATTTCCCCTGCCCACATAAGGTTGCAGTTGCACAAGTAAAGCAAGAGGAAAGCTGCAAATTTACTGTATTAATATCATGACCATCTCTAGTATTGCATCATTATCACCACAGTTAACACAATGGCTCATAATGGATTGCAGTAAATGGTTTTGCCAGAAGACACAGACGCTCTGAGACGCTTGGACAAAGCAACCAGTAACAGGAATAACAACGATGCTTATCGTCATCAATAATACTAATGAAGTGCAGCAAACACCTCTCTAGTTCTGCCCGTGGAAAAGAAAAGGCGCTTTACCGACAGGAGCCCCAAAGGCAGCCGAGACGCCAGCAGCAGCTCCGGCGGAGACGAAATCCCGCTTCTCCGTGTCCCTCCGGAAATATTCAAAGATCTAAAAGCAAACACAGCCCGGAGTGGATTAGAACTTGGGAATGGGTCTCTTAACACACACGAGCGCAAAAAGCCCTGGATGCTCTGCAACCCCTAAGTAACTCAAGCAATGCCCCCCCCCCAATGAATGAGCCCATCACAAAGACCACCAGCAGCTTCCTTTGTGTACTGTGCAGGATGCTAGCTTGCCAAGACGGCCTAGGACTGCGAAGCAACTTTGGTGAGGGAGGAGGGCAACTGCCTCAAACCCCTTCCTGCAAGGGTTCCAATGGCCATTAAGTCAGCTGAGGAAATGTGGAGTGATGGGAATGTACAGTCATATGTGGTGGGACTGTCCGTTAGCTAATGAATTTTGGAAAACAGATTGGTATAGAAATATCGGAAATTGTGGGTAGGAAGGTGGAAATATCTAAATTAATGGTTCTTGTTAGCCTGAGTAGAACCGGGTTAAAAACAAAAGAGGAATGTAAATGGGTAAAATAGATGGTAACTGCAGCCAGACAGGTTATAGCGAGCAATTGGAAAAATGCAGAAGAGCTTGGGGTGAACCAATGAAGGGAAAAAATTGAGTAATATTATAGTTTTAGAATATCTAACTGTGAAGATACACAGAAAGGGTTTAAGGTCAGTGAGAAAGAGGAGGATTGGTTTGCGAAGATATTGAATTATTTGGGTAGGTTTGAACAATTTGGGGCAGTTAAAAGTTAAAAAAACCCTTGTGGAACGAGGAGTGGTAATGTATATAGAATTGTACATATGATTGATCTGAATATGTTATTATTGATTATGTACACTCAATGTATCAGCCACCTGGGGGGTTTCACTGTTTGGGTTTTGGTTGTTGGTAAAAATTAAAGGGAAAATATTTTTTTTTAGAAAAAGTCAGCTGTCCAAGGAAATGAGTGTGGCAGCAACAACTGCCTTCCTCTTGGTCCAGACAATGTCACTTGCTCTGCTCACAGATCTGATGGGAGGCCTGTGTTGGCCTGGTTGCTTTCCCAGGGAGTCAGCATCTGCACAGGCAGAACAAGGCAACTCTGCCGAAAGTCCTATAATGTTAAAATCGGGTATCTGAACTTGCTACTCCCCTCTTCCCTCCCCATCCCTTTTTCCTCGCATGCTATGTCTGTTTATGCAGTTTCATGCTAGAGGGCAGAGACTCTTCTGCGACGCAGGTTCTGCAACCTGAGTATGCCCATTTGGTTAATGGGTGGGGTGCAAATGCTTTAAGCTTGAGAAGAGGGAGAGAGGCAGGCCTCATACCTGCCCCCTGGCATCTCCAACATCTGTTACCAGGATCGGGGCTATGAGAGACAGCGGCAGCCGCCACTCAGTGAGGACGTCCTGGCCTGCGGGGGCTGGAGACCCAGCGCAAGCAACCCACTTGTGGGAAACGAACCTTGAAGTCTCTCTTCAGAGAAGTTGACCGTCCTTGAGATATGCCAGCTGCGATGACAGCTCCAGAGTGAATCATTGGCCCTTCCTGAAACCAAGAGAAGCAGAACTTAGAGGGAGGTAGAAGCTGGCTTACAAGACTGAGCTCCACGCAGGGCCAGATTTAGGTTTGATGAGGCCCTAAGCTCCTGAAGGTAATGGGCCCTTTATATGTCCAGCTGTCCTTTGACAACAACAAATTGTTGCTGTTTTTTAGTGTTGAATATATGCTATATGGTAATTTGTGGACCTAATAGGTATCTAAAGCCATTTGCACCCAGTCCATGCAGATTGTAGGCACCCTATATATAGAAAGGAGCAAACCAGTGATATTTAAGTGAGTAAGCCAGCAGGTGGAAGCCATTACTTACATCACAAGAGCCTACACAACACAAAACATTGTTGCTATATTGTAGGTTTTATTTTATTTGTTTTATTATTATACTAGATGAGCTATTGGCCTGACTTGGCAGGTTCTTATGTTGGTGCAACATCTCCCTAAACACAGATTCTGATCGCAGCAAAACAAGCTGCCTGAGGCACAGTTTTCTTTTCTTTTCTTCCCGTTGTCAAAGCCACGAAGCACGACTCGTTCGCCACGATCCTGAGGCGGAAGTTGGGTACAGGCCAGTAACAAATGGTAAGGGCAAAGGCTAACGAAGAAGCGCCGTTGAGAGCAATGGCTGCCAAGCAGAAACCTTCCCAGGATGCAATGCAAAATAGCCGGGAGGTGGAATTGTTAGGTAGGAAAGATAGTAGCAGATGCCTTTGTGGGTGAAGTTTCTGCTTCCTCTCCTCAGTTACCTTTCCGACCGCCAGGCCTCCAACCACAGAGAAAATCACACCACAGACTTTAACCACCAGCGTCTACAAAGAAAGGAGATACTACATCATCATCATCATCATCCTTATTATTATTATTATTATTATTATTATTATTATTATTATTTTAAAGTTCCCATTCTGGGCTGAACTTTGGCTCCTATGCTCAGTTCCCTCAGCTGCAAAGCGCTGAGCTGACGCAAGAGAGGAGTCCACGTTTAACCTTCAAAGATCTCGCCAGAAAAGAAACAGGCACCGAACCAAAACACGGACTCTCGTTCCAAAGGAAGTGAGGCGAGAGAACTACTCCCATCTTTGTCACCAGACAAGTGAACTAGTTCGCTGATCCTTATTTCCCTCACAGAGCTACAATTCCCAGAGCTCCCTGGCAAGAGGGACTGACTCTTAAAACTGCTCGGGAACTGTAGTTCTGTGAGGGAGAAAAGGGCTCTCCTGGAAACTCTCGGCACTCTGAACAAAACACACTTCCCAGAATCCTTTGGGGGAAGCCATAGTTGTTTAAAAGCAGCATGATACTGGCTTCAAATGCATAGTGCAAATAGGGCCCTAGGTGAAAAGCAGCATATCCCATAACGGAGGCAGACACATCTAGCAACGTGTTTGGATGTGTGGCAGAGAAATGGGCCATTTTTTAGGTCCAGTTTTTTACACACACACACACACACACACACACACACACACACACACTGTTCTCACTAAGGAAGTGGAGGGGCAACTTTCCCTCATAAAAGTCTCAGGTGTATCAGGGGAAAGGAGGGACACTCTGAAAATGGCGAGGCACAACCTGTCCTCCCTCTCTCACCTTCAGCCGGACCACGTGGGGGATCTTAACTCCATTGAGGTAGCACTTGATCTGAGGTATTCCACTACCAGCTGCCACAGGCTACAAGAAAAACAACAACAGGGAAAATAAGTTTGCTTGGGTGTATTACTGTCATTCGAACAGCTCCGAGACTGGGCAGTCGCTACGTATTACCCTCCACACGCAAATCGTAAGAGGCAGTGTGGCGTCACGGTTTGGATGCCGAACTAGGACCTGGGTTCGAATCCTCCCCTCAGCTGCAAAGCTCCCTGGGTGACCTTGGGCCAGTCACCGCCTCTTGCAGTATTAGCTGCCTCACAAGGTGGTTGTGAGAGTTAAAATGGGGTGTGTAAAGCGCGTATGGCTCCTTGGACGAAAGGCAAGGCAGAAACGGGATCATGAAACTCATTGGGAGCATCACCCTTTGCCAAGGCGCGAATTGCAAAATGGCGGTGCGGGCGAGAGACCCAGGCAGAGGCCTTACCTCAATAAAAGCAACGATAACGGCCCCGACCATCACAATGCTCGCATTCAGCGTGGCCCAGAGCAGCAGAGAGAAGGACAAGCCGCCTGTCTTGGTGAATTTGTCAATATCTGAGGAAAGCAGGTTAAAAGGGGAAAACAATATCTGGCCATGGATTTGGGGAGAGGGCGGGATGTGTGTAAAATAGGCATGGGTGATATATCGACATATCGCCCAGGACCGGTATGAGGAGCAGACTGCAATACTAAGCGGTATATCGGTGATGAAATCGTTATGCTCCTGAGTCCCTCTGCCAGGGGCGCAGCTTCATCCAGGAGATGCTGCTAGCAAGGGGATTTGGAAGCACGGCGGTTTCACCAGCGATATACTGCTGAGTGAATTATGTATCACGGTCTGCTCCTCATACGGAGCAGAGGGAGAAACAAGCTGCATCGGTTCCTCCCTATTTGGGGACTTCCCTGGCTTTTTTCTGGCCCACGTAGGACCAGTCTGGATAGTTGGCCTTGGTGAAGATTTGACGTTTTCATCCCCAAAAAAGTTTTTGATTTGAGTTTACTGAAATGAGGCTGCATTTTAATGTTGTATTTTAATCCTGTTTTTAAGTTGTATTTTAATCAATTGTTTTTATACCTGGTGTTAGCCGCCCTGAGCCCGGTCTTGGCTGGGGAGGGCGGGGTATAAATAAAATTTATTATTATTATCTTCAAACTGCTCAGCTGATGGGCGCCCAATTGCTGCTCCCTTCTGCCAAGCGTTTAGCGGAGCCCCCAGTCTGGCACTGGCTTGCCCAAGCTGGCAGTGGGGTGGGGGCTCCGTGAAACTGTCCCCCCTCATCTGAGCGACCCCGATCGCTCAGCAGGGGTGGGTGGGTGACTTCTTCTATGCCCCAGCTGCACAAAGCCTGATGCTGCTGTGGTGTCAGATCGCTCAGATTGGGGGGCGGAAGAAGTCTCCCCCCACCGCATCTGAGCGATCTGATGCTGCAGATGGAGTGGGGGGGACTTCTTCTAGGCTACAACTGAGCAAACCCCGATGTTGCTGAGGTTTCAGGGCTCACTCAGCTGAAGTGGGGGGAGCCCTCCAGCCCCCAGCTGAGCAGCAGCCAGGGCCAACTACATTGGCCCTAGCCTGCGAGGCGCTGGGGTGAAAGGGCCCCAAGTCCGGCAGTGAGAGCAGCGGCCGTTTCACCCTGTATCTAGCCCATGCTTCCTCCAACTTGGCCCTCCAGATGAGACTACAATTCCCATCATCCCTGACTACTGGTCCTGCTAGCTAGGGATCATGGGAGTTGTAGGCCAAAAACATCTGGAGGGCCAAGTTTCAGAAAGCCCGGTCTAGCCGGCTGGAGCCAATGAAGCTTGTTTCAACATTGTGGTATATCGCCAAACCGCGACGTCTGGCTGGCGACATACATCGCAATGTTGAAATATCTAACGTCGCCCAGCCCTGGTGTAAAAGAAGGCAGGCCTCAGCTGGATACAGTCATGTTAGTATGGGAATGTGTTTTATACTTTTTCACCTACGTCCACCTGGTACACTGCAGATATTCTGAACTCCAACTCCCATCAGCCCCATGCTGGCCATCCAAGCTATTCTACCACCATCAGGGATGGCGGACGACACAATTCTGTCTGATTCCACAGCACATGGCGAAGGAGCCCTCCTGTCCTTCGCCCGCAGGCAGCAAAACGCCTCATGCCGGCCCTGCACCAGGGTTGTAGGAAGGGGGGGAGGTGGGGGTGGACCGCCCCGGGTGCCCTCACTGAGGGGGGTGACATTTGGCGCACTGCCCGCCCATGACTCCCAAGCCTACCCCAAGCCGTCGGAGTAAGAGGGGAGAGCTGTGTCGCTTTGCTGGCGGCATAACCCCCTTCCCCCTTTGTTCTGACAGCTTGGAGGAGGTTTGGGAGTTGTGGGTGGGCAGTGCACCAAATGTCCACCATGGGGGGCTCGCTCCACCCCCATGAATGGCTTGCTCTGCCCCCGGCTGCAGGGTGCACGCGCCGCTCCGGGCATCAGAGCAGCTATCCCGTGCCTGGGAGGGCACCCTCCGCGCCATGCCCCCCTCGGGAGCGTGCCCACTGTAGGCAGCGCGGAAATATACTCTGTGGCTGCCCTGCACTCAAAGGATACTGCCCTTCACCACTTTGTATTTCAGGCCAGCAATGTATTCCACCACAATGTCGATGAAGCAAGCAACGAGGCCGGTGAGGATCCCGATCATGGCACAGATGACCCACCGCCGAATCTCCACCGTCCGGAACGCCTGCGTTCGAAGAAGTTGCAATCAGAGCGGTCTGCCTTATTAGGCTGCTTCTTACTGACACAATTCAATTTATGAGCGGCCTAATATAAATCACTTCTCTATCTGGGGCATAATATTTGACTTTCATCTTGGGAAAGGCTATGGGAAATGGATTTAAAATTTTCGGCGTGCTGTGCGTTGGAAAGAAAATTATATGAAAATGATAAATACCGTTGGTGTTTGACTCCCAGTAAGCTAGCAAAAATGTATAAGACAGGTACAAATAGCTGCTGGAAATGTAAAGAAAAAGACGGCACCTTTTATCATATGTGGTGGTCTCGTAAGGTAATAAAAAGCATTCTGGGAAATGATATATAATGAACTGAAAAAAAATGCTTAAAATAACTTTTATAAAAGTTATTATGTAGCTGGATGATGGCTTCCATTACTGACATTTTCTGTGGATTTTTGCATGGTTTTTATTGCAATGCATTGCTCTTTCTTCCCAATTTTACGCGATGCTTTAAAATGTTTTGTAAGTCACTTAGAGGCTCTCTGTGTAGCAAGCCACTAATAAGCTGACTAAATAATACTGGGCTGTGTCAAACATGAGTCATATGGAGTAGAAATCAAGGGATATTACATTATTTTCAGTGTGTCTACTCTGAGTAGAATTCAGTTGGATGTTGCACAGCAACAACAGATTAGGTTCCACTGTATTTTTAAAATGTGGACTTTTGGATGTGGGGAGGGAGGCGTACACATAACCAGATCTGAGATTTTGCAGGAGGAACCCCACAGCAATCCTTCGGCCCTGGAGATGGACTGACCGTATGTTTGATCCTCTTCTCTTCATCCAAGAACAGCTGGTTCTCACAGTTGTCATAGTCCAAGCTCTTAACCAGCAAAAAAAGAGAGAGAAGGGAAGTGAGAAAATAGAAACAGGAAGCCAGGGGAACGCAGCCTGCTCGGGAAAGGCTCACTTTGCCTCAAAACTTACTAAAAGCAGCACTTTCCAAGATTGCACCATCCCACCAATGCCCTCATGCAGCCTTGTATTCAAGTAGTAGTCGCCTGATCGCCATAGGCGAACAGGAATTCCATGGAGGGCGAATCAGTGGAGGAAGGACAGAATGTTCTTTACCTCCCTTGCGCCTTGCACTGAGAAGAATTGAAGCCTCTTCCTCCTTGCCCTGCCCAGAAAAACAACCAAATGCTGCAGCTTTTTATTAGTTTGACCAGTTGAATTATTAGTTAACAAGATTCATATAGATTCAGAGGGTCACAAGCTCCACACCTCTGTGCAAAATAAGCAAACAAGGACAAGCAGACCTCTCCATAACCTTTGTGGGTTTATTGTTTACAAAATCTGCTGGATAGCTCTCCCGGGTGGTGGTTAGATCTCCCGGGTTATAACAAACGTTCCCACCATCGCACGCCAGTTCCTTTCCAGTTGGAACCTTAAGCTGGGTGCCCACCTCGTACTTGAGAGAGAGGACTTTCTCGCTGTGAGGGATCTCATTAGGGTGTGCCCGAGGCGGATCCATTTCCTGCAAGACACAATCGTCATGATTCTTAACACCCTCTATCAAAAACTAGGCTCGTTTTATACTTTTATTTCACGAAATCAACACGCCACCTAGAAAACCTCAAAGCGGCTTGCAAAAATAATAAGAGCAGTGAGATCATTCATAAAAGCAATTAAAACATTCGAAAAATGGAAACCAGCAACAGACCGCAAAACACCTCAGTGTTCTAAATACCAGGCTAGGCCTTAGGTTTCAGGGCTGAGGTGCAGCCTTCTCAAACTTGGTGAGCTCCAGATGTTCTGGAGCCTGCGGCAGATGGGAACCGTAGTCCAGAACATCTGAAGGGCACCAGGGTGGGGTGGGGGTTGTCTTATCAGCCCTCAACTTGGAAGCACAACCTCAGGGCCGGGGGCCAAATCTGGCCCTCCAGGCCTCTCCATGTGAACCTTGGGAGGGGTTGGTGTGAGAGAAGAGAAACTATCCTAGTGCATAAATAGGAAATACTGCATGCGTTGCCACGCCAATTTTTGCTTCTGGCTCCGCCCACCAGCGACATGCTGTCCTCAGGAGGTTGTCCAGGAAGGAAGGTGGCCCTCAGGCTCAACAAAAAGTTTCTCCCTTCTCTAGAGTGGGGGTCAGCAAACTTCTTCAGCAGGGGGCTGGTCCACTGTCCCTCAGACCTTGTGGGGGGCTGGACTATATTTTGGAAAAAAATAATGAACGAATTCCAATGCCCCACAAATAACCCAGAGATGCATTTTAAATAAAAGGACACATTCTACTCATGTAAAAACACGCTGAGGGCTGGATTTAGAAGACGATTGGACTGGCCTTAGTTTGCCTATCCATGCTCTAGAGCAGTGTTTCTCAACCTGTGGGTCCCCAGATGTTGGTGGACTACAATTCCCATCATTCCTAGCCAGCATGACCAGTGGTCAGGGATGATGGGCGTTGTAGTCCAACATCTGGGGACCCACAGGTTGAGAACCGCTGCTCTAGAGGATGCCCGAAATGTCCCCTCCGAGGCAGTTTCTGAGTGCTACCCAGCGGCCTCTTGGCTGCCCCTCTGCAATGCTCACTTACTGGTTCATGTTCGTCGTCGAGGTCCACGTAGCTCATGCGCCCGAGTCGCAAGGAAGAAGAGGACGGGGTGAGCTGAGGGGGCAAAAAACCAGGCATGTCAGTGTGCTAGTCAGAGGAATCAGCTACCAGGCCTCAGGTAAAGCCTCGTCCCTAGATGAAAAGGCAAGGTATTTTCATGGTCCTGTCCTTCCACAGTTGGTTACCAAACCCTTGCCATTTGGATTGCTGTGTTTGTAAATGGCTGGGTTAGCTGCATATGTGGATAGGAATGCAACAGGAATACAGTGGTACCTCAGGTTACAGATGCTTCAGGTTGCAGACTCCGCTAACCCAGAAATAGTACCTTGGTTTAAGAACTTTGCTTCAGGATGAGAACAGAAATCATACTCCAACGGCACGGCAGCAGCAGGAGGCCCCATTAGCTAAAGTGGTGCTTCAGGTTAAGAACAGTTTCAGGTTAAGAACGGACCTCCGGAACGAATTAAGTAATTAACCTGAGGTACCACTGCATTTAAAATAAATGTTACTACAATTAATTTTATTTCTCACGTACCGTTCCCCCAAGGGGAAGGTCACAAACGTTTTAAAAATCAATATTAAAAAGAATCTAAAACAAACTGCAAGGACAAGAAAATTGTTGATAGGTTTATTATCTTTTTCGTAAACCACTCTGAGGTTTTTGTTTACAGTTAAGCAGTGTATAAATTCTATTAAATAAAGAAAATAAATATGAAGAGGGATGGTCCTGTGAATATATATGTTTGTGTGTGTGTGTACATACATACATACACGTGTGTGTATGTGTGTGCATACAGTGGTACCTCAGGTTAAGTACTTAATTCATTCCAGAGGTCCGTTCTTAACCTGAAACTGTTCTTAACCTGAAGCACCACTTTAGCTAATGGGGCCTCCTGCTGCTGCCGTACCGCTGGAGCATGATTTCTGTTCTCATCCTGAAGCAAAGTTCTTAACCCGAGGTAATATTTCTGGGTTAGCGTAGTCTTTAACCTGAAGCGTATGTAACCCGGGGTACCACTGTATTCAGTTAAACATCTGGCTAGTTCAGATGACAACCTTGAGCTAGGGTAAGAACACTGAGAACTTAAAGAATAAAAGTCACTTTATCCAGGGGCAGTCCACATATATATTGGCCTATTCCAGCCTCTTTTTCTTAATGGTGACTGCTTCTGCTCAGAAAAAGCCTTTTGGTTCCAGAAATGTATTCTGATTGTACAGATAAAATAAACCAATAGAATTCTACAGGATGTGCTGATAGTGTGTGAAAACAGTCCAGATCCAACGATCCCAAGGCATGCATCTCTAGATTACAGAGATGTCAGGTGCCATATTGGTACCCGGGCATCTTCACTTGGTCGCAAGTGGCCAATAGCTAGGTGCAAAATGCTCCTGGTTCCCGGCTAATTTTGAACACTGATCTTCATCCCCTCCCCCAATCTGTGGCTTCTATCCAATGCTAGACCCCTTGAAATTAACAGACATCACTAATTTATTCTAATTTATTCTATCCATTCCAATGGATCTACTCAGAGTAGGACTTCGTCAGATGCACTGCTTTGTGCTGTTGTCCTTATATATATTATTAACTGCGTGTCAACCTGGATGTTATGAAACTCAAGGGAGGGGCATTGAAATAATGTTAGAAGGAGGAAAAAAAGAAGGGGAAAAAAACATGTAACGCTGAAGGAATTTAAGACATCATAGTTCAGATATTCCGTCTCCTTATGCAACGAAAACAAAGCCCACGGAAGTCTTTTTGTCAACCGCTTTGAGGTTTTATTACAATCAAGCAGTATATAATTTTTAAGAAATAAAATTAAAAAGCAACAATCTATGACAACTGGAAAGGAGTCAACATCAGCAAGTCACGGCTTGCTAGTCTGAAAGGCAAGAACTTGAATGAGAGGCGCTGAATTTCCAGTTCTTGGTCATGGGTCACTCAGTTCACTGCTAGCTTAAAAAGGGGGTTAAAGAAATTTTAAAATGCTGGCTGATAACTGCTCTGCACAGCATCAGAGCACTTGGGAAACAAAGCATTCAAGGGAGCACAAACCATCACAATTCCCAGCATCTGCTTATATAGACACACAGAGAGACAGCATTTCACCTTTCCAAGTCAAACGCGACATCCTAAAATGGACGGACTTGGCTCCCAGCTCCCTAGAGAACTTCCTGAGCAGCCAGGAAGAAACTCAAACAATAGCAAAGCTTTGGGGTCTTGGAGGTGTACGATTGGGGTGGGGGGCAGAGGCCCCAAAGCTCAATTTGGGATGCAGAGATGTGCACACATAATCCCCATATTTAGGCCATGCGACAGTCTGTTCCGGGAGCGATTCCTCCTCAATTCTTAATTTATTAAGTGGGCTGGCAAACTGCCAAACGAGCAAAATGACGTGCAAAATGTTCACAATCAATGAGATCTAAGGCAGCGTTCTTCATCCAGGCCTTTTATGATAGATTCCCTGATGCTGGAGCTTTTAGTTCTGATCATTCAAGATCTCAGAGGTAGAAGAAAGCACTCTGTCAAGCTCGCTTAGAGGAAAGAGGCAATTCTTGAGCAGCAGGAATAATACTAACATATGCATGTGCTTTCCCCCCCCTGCCATAGTCTTCCAAAAGCAGCTTACAACAATTTTGTTGTTGTAAATACTTCCCAAAAACAAAAACAAAAAGATCTGCAGAGATAAAAACGGTCTCAGAAGGCCAAAAACAACACGCTTATTGTGGGAAATTTCCTCTTTCGAGGTAAGGCACGTGAAGCCTGACTGCCAACATGTGACATTCCAAAATATAATGCAACACTTTGACTTGGTTAAGAAGGGAATGTATTTTAGCTAGGGGGGTAAATCACAGCGTTTCATATATTTAACCACACCGCTGCCAGCTTGACCTCATGAGACTCCAAAAGAACCGAGACAACTGCCTTGCACTCAGAGCAAGATTGGGAATGATCAAATCAATTGTTGAGTGTAAAGTCTCTGTGTTTATAATGTCAACACTCAGGGGAAGCTGTGAGCTGCTCCTTCAAAACTCTGAATGGGCTGAAACAAGAGGGTGGTTATTACAACTTGCAGAGACACAACTCACTAGCTGGGAGCCTGAAATGGGGAAATGCCCGACTTTTGCAAAATTGTCCATCAGCTAATTGCTACGGCTTTGGGTGCTTTGAGACCAGAACTATTCAGTCCCCAACACCCAGCTGATGATTGGTGCTGAGAAAAGGTCACTATCTATCAGTGTTAGAAACTGACATATGAAAACTAGGAGCTAAATGGCACCTTAAACCTAGGTTACGGGCGCAACAACTGAATGTCTAGGCGCAGTTTTTTAATAACAAGAATACAAAATGAATGAACTGCAGCTAAAATCTTATGTTCATTTTTCACATGGTCTAGTCCTTCCCCTGCTCACCCCCCTAATATTCTTAAGAGGGTCTCTTCTCTGGTCTCCAGAGAGTAGCTAGAAGGGGAGACGCAGAAAAAGGTCCTCCTTTCCTTCCACTCTGCAGTTTTAATCTGAAATCTTAGGAGCAGTATTGCGTCCAGAGCTCCCTGGGCCAACCTAATGTAGCTCACAGCATTGGTGTAGTTAGGGGGGACAGGGGAGAGCTGCCCCCCAATCAAGTAAATAAATAAAAATACTTAACTCAAATAGAAACTGCAGAAAGATTTTGACAGATTTTTCTGAACAATCGGGGTCAAAAGAAAATAATTTGAAACCACCGCTGTTGAGACATTTCATTCTGAATCTGCTAGACAAAGCCAGGAAGAGAATTTGGGTGTCCTGCCCCAACCCCAAACATAAATCCTGGCTACACCCATGGCTCACGGGGTTGTATAAATGAGGAGGTGGGGAAAGTAAAGTATGCTGTCTTGAACTGCTTGTTAAATGCAATAAACAAATGAACACAAGAAGCAGGCATAATTGTGGCCAGACCAATGGCCCGTCCAGTTTCAGACAAGAGATGGTCATTGCCATAACATTAAAGTAACAGTCTATTCTTCATGCTTCGGATTAATGGTCTAAATTAAATAAGCACATAGTGAATCTGATCATGGGTCTGCCTATCTGCACCAACTGGAACTCTGGGTTTTTCAACAGGCAAAACCCAGCCCTACCTGGATGCCAGACGTTGAACGTGAGACCTTCTGCATGCAAAGCAGATGCTCTAACCACTGAGCTTAGAGCCCCTTCCCTATAGACAAGCAAGCAGTTCGCTTATAACTCACCTCTGAAACCATCTGGGGAATCTGGGGAAATGATTCTCGTCTAGGTCAGGCTAGAGCCAAGTTGTGCCAGGACGAAAGAGGGAGCAAATCCAGGAACCAGACTCAGATGCACCTGAATGTGGAGGCTGCAGACCCCGCTCAAATTCATTACCTGAGAAGTGGCCACCCGTTTCCCCTGACGTGTGAGGGGGAAGCACTTTGCACATGCTCAGAGCACGCTTTATACTTGCTTTTACTTATTTGTGTATTCAGAATGTTTATATGCTGCCCCCTCACCTGGGATGAAAAGGCACCCGGTCACAGCTGTGCCATGGAACTGAGAATGCACCCTGGGTCCAAGCAAAGGTGACAACGAAGCCACGAAAGAGCAGGTGACACGGGCAGCCCCTTTGCTCGTGTTGTAGGATTTTACAGTTGGAAGGGATCCCAAGGGTCATCTAGTCCAACCCCCTGCAATGCAGGAATAATGCAGACAGACTCGTTCCCACCCCACCCCCAGCAGTGTTCAGGTCCAGCTGGATCAGGCCAGAGGCCTCTTTCAACCAAGCATCCTGCCTCTAGTAGGGGCAGCGGCCAGTCACACACACACACACACAAGCAGGCAGACACAGGCAGGCAGCAGACACACACACACCCCTGGCCAGTCCAGAGGCAGCCACAGAGGAGGATGACTGCCTTAAGAAGGGGCTCCTGGACTCAACAGCTGCTGAAACAACTCCCCGGCCTGGAGGCGAGCCTTTCAATTCTTCATTCCGGAAAGGCACTCTGGACATGCTCAGGAACACCGCCACCCCCACCAATCGAGCCCTTGTAGGGGTCGACCAGGCATCGTCTCACAGCTGTCAGGCGGATGAGCGGATTTTGCAACCATAACGTCCCGGGGCAGCAGTAAAGTAGACTTCGCCTGCTGCTGGAGGCTCCCCGGCTCGGCGCTCACCTGGCGGGGCGGGGCGGCGGCCCCTCCGCCCGTGCCGTTGAGGAGCGGCGTGGCCTCGCCTTGGCCCTCCGCCTCGCCCTCCCGGCCGGACCACGACACCATCTTGGCCACGTTCGCCATCGCCCGTCCGGCCAGCGGAGACAGGAGGCCGGGGATGCCCCGCGAAGAAACCACGAGCCAGCGGTCATGTGACCCGTCCCCGCAGCCGGCGGAGGGGCACGTGACTCGCCTCCAAAGCCCCGCCCCGACTCCGCTTCCCGCGGCATCATGGGAGTTGTAGTCCTCAGGATTCCCCCAACACATGCACTTTTTGTGTGCTTTCATTCCTGGGCAGTATTAGTATAGGCTTTATTTTCACTTTTAGCGCTTATCAGTTTAACAACGTTTTAAATTTTTAATCTGACCAGTCTTGGATCATGTTTATTTTTTTGCTTTTATCCTGAGCATGTGCAGAGCGCGGGAATCGTTGCAGCAGTTCCTGAGCCCCTGTGTCTTTTCTCTCTGAAAATAAATAAAAGCACCCTGTGAGAGACATTGACTCCCAACAAAAAATTATGGCAGTTTATTTAATTTTTTTTAATGCTGTGAACCGCCCTCGGATCTTCGGAGGAAAGGAGGCATACAAAGTTAATAAATAAATAGCGGACTCTCCAAGTGTCCCTATTTTCCAGGGACATCCCTGATTTATAGAAGTCTTCCCGGTTTCTGATTTGATCCCAGAATGTCCAACTTTTCCTTAGGATGTCCCTATTTTCATTGGAGAAATGTTGGAGGGTATCAAGTTATCCAACCCCCCAAGCTGTCTGAAGGCAATCTTGTATAGGGCAGTTTTTTATGTTTTATTATGTTTTTATATATGTTGGAAGCTGCCCAGAGTGGCTGGGGCAACCTAGGAAGAGATGTGGTATATAAATAGTAAAATTACCATTATGGAATGGGACATCCCTAGTTTCACTGGAGAAATGTTGGAGGGTATGAAACAGACAATTTCAATGCAGAAAACCAGCCCGGTGACAACTTTGCATGATTTATTCCTGAATTATGTCTGCTCCCATTATAGATGTGATTAGTTGTGGCTGATACCTTGACAACCTTCGCCAACCGGATGCCCCCCCAAACATCTGGAGGGCACCAGGTTGCCAAAACCTGATTCATAGGAACACCCAAAATAATCCCTGCTTGGAGGATCTGAAACTTTGATATACTTTGGAGGGTTTTGTGAGATTCTGAGTGTCTCCTGCTCCAGTCTGCCACGGGTAATCCCCAGAGCATTTTATTTTACAAATCATAAATGAATTAGGCAGCGCTCAAATGGCACTCATAGGTTTTAAAGCACATTCGAAGCACATTCCCACCTCCCTCAATGACTTCTAGGCAATGTAGTTTACCCCTCAGTTAAAACTCCTGTCAGCCCTCCACAAACTACAGTGCCCAGAATTCTTTGAGGTAAATAATGTGCTTTGAATGTGCTTTAAATGTATAGTATGCATGCACCCACAATCTGAGAGTCTTCACTGTTGCTCGCAAGATCTGCCAGCCATTCTCCTGTCCTGCTGCTGCAGAAGGATGGGTCAATCTATGGGTTTTTCTCCATTTCTTATCCCCCCCCATCTCAAATTTAGTTCTCCACATTTGCAATTACTATTTTTCAAAGTCCTCGTGTGTAGATTTCTCCCAACTAACACATTTTTGTATGCACTTTTCACTAATTGCATACCTTTGCAAAGCCGTTTGCCATAATAGAACACAATTTTGCATGTTATTTTCGCTAATTTAGGCATGCTTTATCCTAGTCTTATGTGTTTTCTGTACTTTACTTTGTATTTGAGTTCGCATACTGCTTTGGAAGGTATGAATTACGTAGATTTGAATGTGAACTGAATCAATTCCCCCCACCAACCACCTTGTTCCTGTTCAGAAGCGAGAGGCCTCCCTGCTCCCCAGCAACTCCTTTGAACCGACCCATCTGTCTGGGAAAAACCTGGTGAGGGTGGAAAGTCCAATGACTGGACATGAGCCAGCAGGACGAATGATCCTGAGTCACCAAGACACCAACCTGACCTTCCTGCCTCTCGCTTCCATTTTTCACCTTCCAATCACTTGCTTTCTGCAGACCTTGCTCCGTTCTCAAAGGCGAGGGAAAGAGCACAAGAAGCAGCTTTGGAAACAAGGCTAAGGAAGGAACCTCTGCCTCTCCTGATCTAGTTGTACTCCAGCTCCCATCAGCCTTAGCCAACACGGCCATTGGTTGGGGTTGATGGGAGTTGTAGTCCAGCAACATCTAGAGAGTAGCAGGTTCCCCACTCCTGACCTGAGTGGATGGATCTGCCTTGGCAGCTGTTAAATCATATTTACTTGGAAAACAGATGGGAAACCTGTGTCTCACTGTGGAGCCTTCACAATAGCCCTATTTTCCATGAATTTACCTAATTCATTTTGAAAGCCATCTAGGTTGGTGGCCCCCATTGCCTGCTGCAGGAGTGAGTTCCATAAAAACATAGAATTGTAGGGTTGGAAGGGACCCCGTGGGATCATCTAGTCCAACCCCCAGCAATGTAGGAATCTTTCTCCCCAGTGTGGGGCTCAAACCCACGACCCTGATATTAAGAGTCCCACAGTCTGCAAAGATGCCCTTCCTTTTATCTGTCCCGAATCTTGCAACATTTGGCGTCATTGGACACCCCTTGAGTATTAGGAGAGATGGCCTTTGGTTTGGACTCAGTCTGGCCCTTATGTTTCCCTCCCCTTATGGTCTTGATTTATCGGCTACTTTTAAAATGAGGCTGCATTTTAAATTGCATTTTAACCTGTATTTTAAATTGGTTCCCCCCTCCCTCCCTTATGTTTTTACTGTGATTTTATTGGTGTTAGCTGCCCTGAGCCTGGCTCTGGCCGGGGAGGGTGGGGTATAAGTAAACATCTATTATTATTATTATTATTATTATTATTATTATTATTATTATTATTTTGTACACCTCTGTCATGTCCCCTCTTCAACACCTTTTCTCCAAACTAAAAAGTCCCAGACGCTGCAAATTTTCTCCATATGGAAAACTCTTCATTCCTACTCTGCTTTTCAAATTCTACAGCATCCTTCCTGAGGTGAGGAGACCAGAAGGGTACACAGTATTCCAAACACAGCTAGATAAAAACCGACAGATAGAAGCCAGAGCAACAATAATGAGAGGAGAATATAGTGGGTCTCTCCAATATGTATTTCACTTTATACAATACAGCGAAATTAAACATGGCTTGGGGCTGTGGAAGCAGAGAGCAGCGGGGCTGGAACCAGACAGAAGTACAAAATGGGTGGGAAACCTCGGAGAAGATTATAATTATCCAGCTGGAGGGAGCTCATTGCAATATTTCTTTCAGGATTATCTTTGCCAGTTATGAAGTCCTAACTTTCCAGTAGACATGGCAGGACTTTACATTAAATTTGCAGCCGATGTTTCCGTTTAGTGGTCCTCTCCAGTACAGATGTGTTTGGAGCAATAAGCAAGAATGTTATCTATTTTTAAAAGAAGGAATGGAGATGAACGCTGGAAGGAAGAGTCAAATTACATGTGATGAGCAGTTCCCCGATTCCTTCCACTATTTTTTTAAAATGAAAAGCAGTCAATGGGAGGCTAAACTAGAGAGAGGAGACTCGGTGTCTGGAGGGCTGGCTTAACCCTTTTATTTATTTACTATCTCCTCCCTGCTCAAACTTGCCTCACCCCAGCTGTTTTTCTGCTCATAAGGGGAGAGAGAGAGACGGATCCTGTATATTTTCCCCTACAGCAAAAGGGGAGAGGGAGGTGGGTTAAGCAGCCACTGTTTCCAACTTGGCCTGCTTTTTTCACAGCTGCTTTTCATTTAACAATATTACTTTTTAAAATCCTAACTGTATCAGGAAGGAAAATCCATGCACTACACACCATGTGTTGTTGTTTAGTCGTTTAGTAATGTCCAACTCTTCGTGACCCCATGGACCAGAGCACGCCAGGCACTCCTGTCTTCCACTGCCTCCTGCACTTTGGTCAAACTCATGCTGGTAGCTTCGTCCCCTTCTCCTTGTGCCCTCCATCTTTCCCAACATCAAGGTCTTTTCCAGGGAGTCTTCTCTTCTCATGAGGTGGCCAAAGTATTGGAGCCTCGGCTTCAGGATCTGTCCTTCCAGTGAGCACTCAGGGCTGATTTCCTTCAGAATGGATCGGTTTGATCTTCTTGCAGTCCATGGGACTCTCAAGAGTCTCCTCCAGCACCATAATTCAAAAGCATCAATTCTTCAGCGATCAGCCTTCTTTATGGTCCAGCTCTCACTTCCATACATCACTATTGGGGAAACCATAGCTTTAACTATACGGACCTTTGTCGGCAAGGTGATGTCTCTGCTTTTTAAGATGCTGTCTAGGTTTGTCATTGCTCTTCTCCCAAGAAGCAGGTGTCTTTTAATTTTGTGACTGCTGTCACTATCTGCGGTGATCCTGGACCCCCAGAAAGTAAAATCTCTCACTGCCTCCATTTCTTCCCCTTCTATTTGCCAGGAGGTGATGGGCCCAGTGGCCATGATCTTAATGTTTTTGATGTTGAGCTTCAGACCATATTTTGCGCTCTCCTCTTTCACCCTCATTAAAAGGTTCTTTAATTCCTCCTCACTTTCTGCCATCAAGGTTGTGTCATCTGCATATCTGAGGATGTTGATATTTCTTCACACCGTGTGTACTTTGAGCCAAATATTCAGCCTTTCTGAATCATGGGTTGGAAGTTTCTGAGCAGAATACGGCCCTGGAAGGCCATGCCCCCCCCTCCACCCCTATGAAACTGCAGAGTGGCATGACTGCCAAATGTATTTTTTACATAGGGAAAGAAAAGTGCCAACATCACTACACTGTGGCACTGGGAGAGAAATATTGTGGGGTCTTCAAGTCATCCATCTTGCAGTGCTAATACCTGGATAAGAGGAGGCAGAAAACAGGGGCAGGCGTTGAGGTACAGAGGGATGAATGTGTCCTTTTCAGTTTCTCATTTTTCCAATCTTAAATTCAGTTCTCCACGTTTCCACAACAATGTGCAGGTTTTTGCTGTTGAATCCATGAAAATCCACCAGTTTTGCATGCAGTTCTTCTGATTACTATGCCCATTTTGGCAAGCATTCCCCTGCCCCTCAAAGCAATGTAACATCATATGCTATTTTCACTTACGTATACATCTCCATGCACTCTTTAAGTATATGCATTTTCGGACACGTCGTTCGGTTAAAGAATCACATTGCAAAATTCGGACAAGCATGGAATTCAAAGGATAGCTGTTTCAGTTCGTGTGTTGGTTCGAGAAGTTTCAAATTGGGCAATTTCTCATCGAAATGCAAGCAAAATCAAATTCCATCCCTGCCCTAGGCTGTGGTGGGGAATCCAAACGCACTGCTCACTTCATTGATAAGATGACACACAGGCAAAACACTGTAGCTCTTGTATAAGGGATTGAAATGAATATTGAAATGTAATTGGATTAAATAAGACGTTGGAAGCAGAATTAAATGAAATTATCTTACCTTGAAATCTAGCACGCGGGGGGCTATCTAGAACATGTAATTGGCATTTTAATAGATTGATATTTGAATTGGAATGGTAATTTGGTATTGATATAATGTGGCATGTATTGGATTTTTGTAATTGAAAATTATTATTTTAAAAAAAAAACTTAAAGAAAGAAACATAAGATGATGCACAAGCTACCAGAAAGTCCTCCTGCAGAAGCCCCATCCAGCAACTTCAGCAACTGGACAAAAAATGCATTGGCAGTACATAGCCAAAAACTGGACAGGATCTACCCAGCTTTCACTCTCAACACGTCAGTTTGGTTCTCGAAACTTGCTTGCCCATTTTTACAATCAATCCAGAATGGGACTGAAGCGGCAGAAGGCTGAGGGGGAGAAATGGCAAGTCTGTCTTCAGAGGTGAGGCCCAGAGGGCTGGAGGCACTTCCAGAATCTGGACTGCTGCTATTTTTGGGTGGGATACCAGCAATTAAAGTGGATCTGGTGCTCTTAACAAACCCACTTTAAAAAATAAATCAGACTTTTTAGTAGCAAGGATAGTCAAATGCACTGGAAAACCGTGGTATATTGAGTACATGACGCAACGTGATAAAACAGATAGAAAGGATGCTGAAAAACTAGCTGACGTTGTCTAACCTGCTGCCAGATTGAGTTTGCTATCCGGACAGACAATGCTTTGTCAAACTAAATGCACCAGGTGTTTGCTTTCAAACCAGGTCAGCTGGAAGTAACCAGAGACTATCAAAGGGGCTGGAGGAAGGAAATTGCAAGGGCAGGTACCGGAGAGCTAAACGGCAGGGAAGGGAACGATCACCAACACTTTGTGGTGTAAACTGCGTTCTGAATAGACAGTGCTGAGTTGAGCTCCCATCCATTGTGCTGTTTGCTGAGAGCTCATTTATCTGTTTCTTGCTGGCTTCTGAACCTGCTGCTGGCGGAGGCGGGAGCTATCTGCCTCCGAGGTGGCCACAGCGTCCTTCAACAATACCTTTGCCACATTATACTTCAGGAGAAGCGGCGCCCCAACCCCACCCTGCTCCCAAGCTCATCCTAGCTGCCTGGGTTGCAGGTTGCCCTGTGTGGGTATGAAATGGGGAGAATTACAGGCAGTGTTCGAGGCAAGTGCAGTTCACCTTCTGCAGCGCTCCGTGGAGGGCAGAGATGTTTGCCAGGGTGAAGATTGTGCCACGGGGCAGGCCTCTCCCGATGGCGATGCCCGAGACCTCTCCAGGTGAGAGCGCACGATCCCATATGGCAAGGCCGGCCAGGTAGCCCACAAAAGACTCCGAGGGTTCAAACCCACCACCCATTGTGTCTTGTTCCTGACCCAGTACAAGAGACCCTTTGGGGGGAATCTCGTAGCCCTTCTGGAACTTGGAGCCCATGGAAGCCAACCTCCTGTCCACATAGAACCAGTATCGCCCCTGGATGGAGGACCAGATGACACAGATGTGGTGCCACTTGCCATCCAAGATCCGTCCCACCGGCAGCTCCCGAAAAGCAGGGTCGCCAATGACAAAGTGGATGGAGTTCCGGGGTGCAGCATCGCGGCCGTGGAGTACCAGCTTATTGTCATTATCCTCAGTGGCATAGGACAGGATGGTGCCCAGGTAGTTGGCACTGGTGCTCACCCAGCTGCAGAGGCTCAGTTCAAGCAGGCCAGCCTGGAAACCTGGTGTGAACGTGGCAAAGTTCTCTGTGGAAGCGTTAGGGAAAAACAGCATGGAATCCACGTTGCAGACTGTGGGGAAAGAGAGAGAAAGAGGCAATCAAGCCTACAAGTTTAACATATGCCAAATCTGGGAACTGTCCCTGCCCGAGACCAATAGCACTGCTCATCTGAGATATAAAGATAAGGACCAACATTTCAATTATTTGTGAAATTTTATCAATATGTTGAAAAATTAGGCTTTGCAAGAGGCAAAAGAATGGCTCAGAGCATAAGTAAATTCATAAAAGTTATTTACATGGTTTAAAAATCAAAAGAATGGGAGCATTTCTTTTTTATGGACACTGAAAAAGCATTTGACCACATTAAATGGCCATTTTAAAAACAATATTGGAACTATGGGGGTGTAGTTCAATAGTTAGACAAAGGGTATAGATTCTGCATACTCTCTCAGCTTATAACTCGGCCAATGGATGCTCATAAGAAAAATTTACCCTCTCTAGAGGTACATGTCATGAATGCCCTTTGTTGCCAGTATTATTTATATTATCTATGGATCATTGGTCTAAACCACTGAGCTTAGGGCTTGCTGATAAGAAGGTCAGCAGTTCGAATCCCTGTGACGGGGTGAGCTCCCGTTGCTCGGTCCCGGCTCCTGCCAACCTAGCAGTTCGAAAGCACGACAACGTGCAAGTAGATAAATAGGTACCACTCCAGCAGGAAGGTAAACAGCGTTTCCATGCACTGCTCTGGTTTCGCCAACAGCATCTTAGTCATGCTGGCCACATGACCCAGAAAAACTGTGTGCAGACAAACATTTGCTCCCTCGGCCAGTAAAGCGAGATGAGTGCCACAACCCCAGAGTCGTTCACGACTGGACTTAACTGTCAGGGGTCCTTTACCTTTTTTTAAAAAGCCATTAGCTATAGCTTTAATAATGGTATGAAGTGGGCAGATGCCTGGATATGTCCGAATGAATGCTTTAAATGTATGGTGTGGATGGGACCCGAATTGTTTCTCTCTCTGGGAAGATACTCCAGGAGAGAGGTTCCAAAGACCAAAGGTGGTAAGGGAATAATTGAACTGTTGTGTTGGAAGAGACCATGAGGGTCATCTAATCCAACCCCCTGCAATGCAGGAATCTTTCGCCCAGCGTGGGGCTCAAACCCACGGCACTGAGGTTAAGAATCTCATACTCTACTGACTGAGCCATCTCCCAAGTCTCCTTCAAGCTACCAATGGCTATCAACTATACAGCACTGCTGCTATTACCACCTCTGGCTAGCTTAGCAGGGCCATTCCGGCAGGATAAACCTGGTTCAGCTCATCTCCACGTACTTGTCCCTGGTTTCCGAGGCGCCTCTGACTGCGACTGCTCTTCAGGGGCCTTGTCTACGACCGCTTGCTGTTGCCTGAGCGCTTGTGGCTCCGGCGGATGAGGCTGTTCCGCTTCTGCCTCCTGCCGCTGGGGAGCTTCCTGACCCGGAGGGGGTCCGCTCTGCAGCCCTCTGGACTGGGCTGCAAGCCGCGTGCTCTCCTGGAGCAGTTTCTTCCTCTGGCGATGCTTCCCATGGAGCTTTTTCACGGTTGGGTTCTGCCCGCCGGCCGCCTCTGGTTCCTGCTCTTGGGGACCCGGTTTAGCAGCTGAGCCGCAGTTAGGGGGTTCGGCAGAAGGACCTCATTGTGCGCGGGGTTCTTCAGCTGCTGCTCCAGCTCATCTAGCTTGCTCCCTGGCTTTTGAGGGCATCCTGAAGACTCTCCAGGGCTTTCTGGAGGACCCTGTGGCCAGCGTGCACGGCCTGGGTGTCCTCTCGATGGCTCTCGACTTCTTGGGTTAAGTTGGCCAGGAGCGCTCGCTCCTGCTGCACCTCTGCCTCCTTCTCGCGGTCCTCTCGCGCAAGGCTTCTTCCAGGGCCCCCAACTTCGAGTCTTGCTTCTTGCCCTTGTTCTGCAGCTTCTTCACCAGAGCTTTCAAGTGGCTCAGCTCCTCTTGCGTAGCTGCGTGGCTCTCGTTGGCAGCGGACTCCAGGCCCTGGTGCTTGCTCAGCAGCTGCTCAAACTTGGCGTCGATGTTGTAGGAGACATTGTAATTCCCAGCGATCTCCTGAAGGCGCGTCAGGGTGACCTCCTGGAACCGCCGGAACTGGAAAACAGTTAGGGTGAGGGGGGAATGGAGAAAAACCCAGTGTCATGTACTGAGTTGAATAGGATCCAGAATGCAGCAGTCTGATTGGTCCTAGAACAATAGGGTCCAGAATGCAGCAGTCTGATTGGTCCTAGAACAATAGGGTCCAGAATGCAGCAGTCTGATTGGTCCTAGAACAATAGGGTCCAGAATGCAGCAGTCTGATTGGTCCTAGAACAATAGGGTCCAGAATGCAGCAGTCTGATTGGTCCTAGAACAATAGGACCCAGAATGCAGCAGTCTGATTGGTCCACAGGAGCCACCCAATCCAGCTCCAGGTAGAAGTGAATCCGCAACCTGACTGGCCTACAGGAGAATCCCGGAATTAGCCAATCATGTGGGGCCCATTGTGTAAATAATGTATATAAAGCAGACATTCTGGGGGAACTTCCATTCCTCCTCACCACTATGAGCTGAATAAAGAGCATGAAATCCACTCTCGACTCCGAGTATATTTCACCCAGTTAGGTTTCTGGAGGACTCCTAGAGAGGCTGAGGAATGTGAGGCACTCTACAGATCCAGACTTGCATCAGCAAAGGGTTGAGGGAAGGGGCAGAGAACGAAAGGTGGCCCTTAAGTACTTTCTATCTGGCCCCCAGCACTATCTCCAGATAGGAACAGGGGAGAAATTTGATGCAGCTTGCATTGAAAGGCAAGCCGACTTAATTTGCGATTTCGGAAGCAAGCTACAAGCCAAAACACAGCCCTCCTTCAGAATTCTCCCCATTTTGCCAGTGCAGTTGTCCAGCCAAGTACAGTGGTACCTTGGGTTACAGATGCTTCAGGTTACAGACGCTTCAGGTTACAGACTCCGCTACCCAGAAATAGTGCTTCAGATTAAGAACTTTGCTTCAGGATGAGACAGAAATCGTGCTCCCGGCGGCGTGGCAGCAGCGGGAGGCCCCATTAGCTAAAGTGGTGCTTCAGGTTAAGAACAGTTTCAGGTTAAGAACGGACCTCCGGAACGAATTAAGTACTTAACCCGAGTACCACTGTACAGGCCGCTCCGGTTTTAGGCGCGTCTGAACGATGCACAATTGCACACATGTGCATGGCGCCGAACATAGAAGTAGCTCCAAAATGTCATGAAAAAGAGATGGAGCTGGACGGAGCAGACTTATTGAGGTCACTCCCAGTCTGATGCGCGCTTGTGAAATGGGTTGAGTGAGATCTTAGGATCTGGAGGCAGGCGTTACATTTTCCCACTGGACTCCTTGGAGCCCATGAATTCACTCAACTCTATTTATATCTCTACAGTAAGGGCTGCCGTTATTATAGTGTTTACTGGAAACCATTCACGAGTGACTTATACTCATTAACGGGCTTATTTTGCTATTTTCTGATCCAAAATGCTTCACGTCATTATTTCCTAGCTGACAAGCTCCCTTGGGGAAGCATCTGTTCCTCAAAGTTGTGAGTTTCTGATAGGCCAGGGATTGATATCCTGGTGCCCTGGAGGTGCGGGCTGAGCTCTGACTCGCCATCAGCCTCTGGCCAGCATGACCAATGGTCAGGGACGATGGGAGTTGTAGTCCAGCAACATCTGGAGGGCCAAAGGTCCCCCAACCCTCTGGAAATCAATACGGTAAATTGGTTATGTGAGTACTGTAATCGTACAAGCTTATGCAGACTTGATGCACACCCTTGGGTTTAGGTCAGAATAACTCGGGTCGCTAAATTGGGGCTCTCCAAGTGAGATGAGACTTAAAATCATAGAATCGGGGAGAGACCACGGGAGGAGTCATGCGTGAGCCCAACAACCTTTGCATTGCAGGAATATTTTGCCTGACGTGGGGCTCAAATTCAAAACAACACTCAGAACAGGGCTTTCTGGGGAAAGCAAGATGGTGGCCGCACAACCTTCCAAGTGTCCTGGATTTTCCAGGGACAAGGCTGGGAATTTTGAAAGCCTTCCCTGGCTTCTGATATTGATCCCCAGGATGTCCCGATTTCCCCCCACCAAGCTCAGGAAGGAGGATGAGATGGCGTTTGTCCCAGGACGGCAGTAGCGGCTGCAGTGGCAGTGGCTGTGAGGTCTTATCCCATTGCCTCTCCATGGCCTCTGCTACTGGCCTCCTCCCTTGGGCAGCTCATAATGGCAACTCGAGAGCAGGCCAGGAGGAGAGGTTGATGCACCAGCCTCTGGGGGCAGGCAGAGGGAGGGCCCTGGTCAGGAGGAAACACGGAGAGGAATGGAGCATAGGTGTTATGTACTTGAAGTTCTCACCCTGGGCCAGCAGGGGATGCTGTAGATAGTTTTTCACTCAGGTCCACATCAGTTATTTTAGGCGGGAAACCCTGGGTTGTTGTTACTGCTACAATGTTGACAGCCGGCTGCCTATAAAAGCAGGCCGGCTGAAGCTGTTTGCGGTTCAGTTTCTGTTTCCAGCTTACAAAATAAAGAGCTGCTTTGGAGAAATCGCTGTGTCGTCTGCCATGTCTACCCACTATTCAACAATAAGGAATCTTGATTTATTTTTTTTAATGCTTTGTGCATTCTGCGCAGGGCCAGCTTTAGGTTTGACTGGTTGGCGGGATGTTGGCTGGCCACTGCAATAATCCCCTGCCTGCCCCCAAGAATTTCACCTTATCCCATGAATATTGCTGTGGGGAAAACGAAGTGGGTGAAAAGGCAGCTCTTGTTTCATTTGCTCCCATTCTAGTAAAAACAATAGCAATAGAAATATAATTCTGTTATTTGTACCCCACTATCTGCCTGGTTTCCCCAGCACTCTGGCAGCTTCCAACATGATAAAACATAATAAAACATTGCACATTAAAAGGCTTCCCTGTGAAATGCAGGCAGGCTGTCATAATAAATAATAATAATAATAATAATAATAATAATAAATAGATGCTTTTTTCTGGGGGTACACAGGAGTATGCATACCCCTAAACATTTTGTGAACTTTTGTGTACTTTTGTCCATTTACTGTATTTATTTCCCCGATTTGAACTATAAAATGGTGGTTTTCTTGAGTCAAATGAGAGTACCCTAACATTTCTTAAGAAAAAAGCACTGAATAATAATAATGATGATGATGATAATTTGTAACCCACCCATCTGACTGAGTTGCCCCAGCTACTCTAGGCCATCCACTTAAGCACTTAGCTTCCCCCCAGAAAATTCCAGGAACTGCAGTTTACTCCCTCACAAAGCTACAATTCCCAGCACCGCTGACAAACTAAGGTTCCCCCAGATTCTTTAATGGGAAACTGTGTGCGTCAATGAATGGCGTGTACGCTGCCTCAGTTTATTATGAATATAATAAAAGCACTATCTAACACACGCTTGTGGTTGCTGGCAAGAGGTTATGGGCTAATCCTAGCAGGAGCTGCCAAAGGCTGGATAGATATCACAACAGCAGCTACTCCCACTAACTTTTAAAGGGAAACATGACCCCCACGCCTAATGAATCATGGCGACTGGAGCGGCACCCAGACTTCTTTGCGCCAGCTGCTGATTCCACTATTTTTGGGCGGGTGCATTCTCTTGAGCATCACAGAGGATTGCAAACAGATGTTCCTGCTTCGACCACAGCAGCGAGTTATCGCTATTATCTCAGTAGCGCCAGAGGGCCTGCAAGGAATGGGTGTTTGCCCTATCTGAAGAATAGAACAGCAGCTCCCTCCCAACAACCCACAACACTCCCTTTCATTTCTCTAAATTGGGACTCTTCCCTGCTAGTCCTGGAAAGGGTGCCTCTCAAGAATCAAATTGCTTTATTTATCAGCGCCTGTTATAGCTGGTTGCTGGGCAGACAACTCACGCCACAACACCCACTGCCTCTCCCCATTGGACTCCTGGCCTTGTTTTTACTTGTACAGTGGATGCTCGGGTTACGAATGTGATCCATGCGGGATGCACATTCGCAACCCACAGCGTTCACAACCCGCGTCTGCGTGCCTGTGGCTTGCGATTTGGCGTTTCTGCACATGCACAAAGCGTGATTTAGCGTTTTTGCACATGCGCAACCGCAGAAACCCGGAAGTAACCCAACCTGAAGTGTCTGTAACCCGAGGTATGACTGTACTGGTGCTATTCAGCAAGCTCTCTTTCCCCTGTGAACCATAACGGTTTTCATTTCATCTCGGTTCAAATGGATCCATTGGTTTTGTGATACAGTGGTACCTTAGTTCTAGAACTTAATCCATTCTGGGAATCCATTCGGCTCCTGAAACCGTTCAAAAGGCAAGGTGCGGTTTCCGATTGGCTGCAGGAGCTTCCTGCACTCAATTGGAAGCAACGTCGGACGTTCGGCTTTCGAAAAACATTCGCAAACTGGAACACTTACTTCTGGGTTTGTGGCATCTGGGAGCTGATTTGTCTGACAACTAAGGCATTCGGAAACCAAGGTATCACTGTACAGTCATACCTTGGGTTACAGACACTTCAGGTTGTGTTTTTTTAGGTTACTGATGCGCCGAAACCTGGAAGTACCGGAACGGGTTACTTCTGGGTTTCGGAGGGAGTTCGTTCCTGATATTGAGTCGGAATCTCCTTTCTTGTAACTTGAAGCCACTGGTTCAAGTCCTACCTGCCAGGGCAGGAGAAAACAAGCTTGCTCCATCTTCCACGTGACGGCCCCTGAGATATTTGAAGACGGTTGTCATATCTCCTCTCAGTCTCCTCTTTTTCAGGCTAAACATATCCTTTTCTCGTTTGAGGCAGATCCACACCATACTTTTAAAGCATATCCAACACACTTTTAAAGCACATAGCTCCCCACCCCCAGGATCTTGGGAACTGTAGTTTGTTAATAGTGCTGGGAATTATAGCTCTGTGAGAGGGATACTATAGCTCCTGGGATTGTTGAAAGGGAGGTCATGTGCATTAAATGTATTTGGTATGGTTCTTTAGTAGCTTGCAAGGAGCATTCTGAGCAGGGATGAGTGAATCTGCCAGTTCTGTTTTCTCATCTTCCCAGTTTGAAGTAAAGCTCTTCACATATAACAAAGATTGCAAGTCCTAATGAAAATTCATCCGGATTTTATTCCTAATAGACACATTTTTGCCTGCAGCTTTGTCCAATATGCACATCTTTGCAAAGCAATAATGTATCTTTAATGCATTTAATTTTCACTAACAAGTGTCTTTAGTATACATTATACATATGCATTTTTGGACACATTAATTGGCTGGAGAAGTAAAATGCAAAATTTGAAGAATTTCAAAGTATGGCTGTGTGATTTCAGGGAATTAGGTAAGGTCACATTTAATTAATGCAAGCTGAATTGAATTCTCCCTCAAGGACTACTACTTTTTCTTATCAGCATGGGCATGTACATAATAGTGCAGTTGTTCTGTTAACTCCAGTAGGTCAGTTGGACATAACAGGTTTTGTTATTTATTTATGTGATACATCATATTGCAAATGAAACAAAATGGCAGCTGGACAAAGGGGGGTGTCAATGGCAGAGTTCATATGATAAGCTCACATAGTGCATTCATATCTCAGAAGCGACACCTTATGCTTTGCATAAATCCTGCACTGTTATTTTCTTAGGTGGTTATTGTTTTAGATCTTCTTTTAAATACAAACTGCCTGGTGTTGCCTGCTGAAGGGCACTGGAGAAACCCAAACAAATATTAGCTAGAAATCTAACTACAAAGTCCTGTGTACGATCGGCTCTCTTGAGAAATTAACAGGTTAAAAAGGCTGAGCCCAACAAGAAGTCATTCTGGGAATATCAAGGCAGAACAAAAGAGCACCTCAAAGATAACCTGGATATTTTATTAGAGCAATATCTACTAGCGCCAGGAATAGTGCTAAGTTCAAATCAAAGGTATAAAATGTGAAAAAAATAATTTCCAGCCTTTGATGAAGAACAAAGACCCTGGTAGCTTGTTTTTATTCTGTGCAACCCGCACAGAACTTACTGTTCTGTTCTGGCTGGAATGATTTCACTAGTTGTTGTATTTTATAACTGTAATTGTTTTATCTGTTTTCATAACTGTATATTATTTTGTTGTCTCCTGCTCTGGGAACTTACTGTGAAGGGCTGGTAAGAAACCTAGCATCTTAATTTTGAAAAACAAACAAACTTTGTATGGAAAAATACTCGATACACAACCCACATGTCCAAAAGGCATGAATACCAATTATTAAGAAGCTGGTTTTTCAAAACGTTGTGCAATTCAACCATTTTAGTATTACCGAGCTAAAATAAATGTTATGATGAGATGGGAACATGGGTAACAAAACCTTGTACATAAAAAAGGGGCAAACTCTCGCCGTTTAATTTGAAGTCTGGAACAAATTAAATATTTGTGGAATTTTGAATGATCAGATTTGGATTTTAGTTTTCGAATGAGTTTAACAGGTTGCATCCACCCCAGGTTAGACTGTCAGCAAATTCCAGAGTCCAGAATCAAGAACATTATTTGGTGAACTTACGATAATGACAATCCATGCCAGGCTCACCTGCTCTTCCAGCCGTCTAAACCTTTCGAAGAATAGCTTCCTTCGCTCCGCTGTCCCAGGCTGCTGGACCAAGGTGCCCTGAAGACAGACAGCGGCAAGGATGATGAAGACGGACAACATTTTCCGTGTTCCCAGCATCCCAAGAGCCGCACACATCTTTGGGGTGATGCTCTAGGTGGGAACACAGAAGACAGGGTTCAGCGTCTGTAGAAGAGTCCCCCTCTTAACACTACACTATTCAGAAAGCGACTGCTGAGATCCCTTCCTTTGCTTCTAGAAGCCCAAGGTCCTCCCACCAAGCTAAAAAGAGACCCTAGTTTGTTCTCAGAATAGATGAGTTCCACAGACTTCTCTGGCATTCCCAAGAAGCCAAGTTTAGTCTCAGAGCTTGGCAGCCGCGTGGAGACATTGCCTGGGGGAGGGAGAACCTGGCTTGGTTTTTGGAGTTCCTTCCAGGACCTGGAAATCAGGAGAAGGCTGGTCATTAAGTTGGCTGCTTATTTCATTCATATGTTGTTTAGTCGTGTCCAACTCTTCGTGACCCCATGGACCAGAGCACACCAGGCACTCCTGTCTTCCACTGCCGCCCACAGTTTGGTCAAACTAATGTTAGTAGCTTTGAGAACATTGTCCAACCATCTCGTCCTTTGTCATCCCTTTCTCCTTGTGCCCTCAGTCTTTATACAGTGGTGCCTCGCAAGACAAAATTAATCCGTTCCGCGAGTCTCTTCGTCTTGCGGTTTTTTCGTCTTGCGAAGCACGGCTATTAGAAGCTTAGCGGCTATTAGCGGCTTAGCGGCTATTAACGGCTTAGCGGCTTTAAGAAAAAGGAAACAAACTCGCAAGAACTCGCAAGATGTTTCGTCTTGCGAAGCAAGCCCCTAGGGAAATTCGTCTTGCGGAACGACTCAAAAAACAGAAAACCCTTTCGTCTAGCGAGTTTTTCGTCTTGCGAGGCATTCGTCTTGCAGGGCACCACTGTATTCTCTCTCTCTCTCTCTCTCTCTCTCTCTCACACACACACACACACACACACAGTCATACCTGGGGTTACAGACGCTTCAGGTTGCGTTTTTTGGGATACAGACCGCCGAAACCCGGAAGTACTGGAATGGGTTACTACTGGGTTTCGGCAGTCGCGCATGTGCAGAAGCACTAAATCACGCTTTGCGCATGCGCAGAAGACCAAATTGCAACCCACGTGTGCGCAGACACGCCACTGCGGGTTGCGGACGCTGTGGGTTGCGAACGTGCATCCCACACAGATCATGTTCGCAACCCGAGCATCCACTGTATATATATTACCAACTTTTTCTGAAGTAAAACAAGGACATGTGTCTTCCGGGGTGGGCTCCTGGGTGGGTCATGTGACCTGCACCTTGCTCTCCCCTTTTCTCAGGGAAAGATCTTACACAGCACCCAGAAACATACACTTTGGGGGGGGGCTGTGTGATATTGCAACCCCGCCCTGGGAGTTTTTTCAGGGCGATTGCACAGTGTGAGAGCACAGCGCCCAAAATGGCCACCGAGATCTTGTGCGGGGGGAAATGGGATGTCCTGTTTGTTCCTGGACACCTGGAAGGTATGCATTTACAGTGGCACCTTGGTTCCCGAAAGGCCTGGCTCCTGGACAAATTGGCTCCCGAACACTGCAAACCCAGAAGTAAGTGTTTTGGTTTGAGAACTTTTTTGGAAGCTGAACATCTGACATGGCTTCCGCTTGAGTGCAGGAAGCTCTTGCAGCCAATCGGAAGCCGCGCCTTGGTTTTTGAACGGTTCTGGGAGTCGTAAGTTTGACAACCAAGGTACCACTGCATTCAGTAAATTCAGAGTGTGCCAATAAGGCTGATTCGGAGCTCTTGCAAAACTAACTCCTCTCACCCCCCCCCCTGAAGTGGATTTCCCCCACTCAGGAAAGTTGACAGGACAATTCGCCGGAAAGTGTGGGATAACAGCTGCTTGATGCAGCAGCATCATCTAATCTCCCCACAAACAAATCAGGCTGAATACTCATTAAACAGGTCATCTGGAAGAAACGCTTGCCTTTCCAAAGAGGCAAATGCCACCGTCTAATCCAGGGGAGGGGGACCTCAGGTCTGGGGACTAAATGTGGCTCATTAAGGCTTCCCATACAGCCTTTGGGACTCTCCACAGGCCCCGCTCCACAGCTTCCTCCAGCTTGCCTCTTTTGGCCTTGCTGGAATGTGTCCTTGAACTGGATGGAAAAGTGGAGGTGAAGAAACTTCCGATTTTTGTTGTTTGGACTCTACGGCTGAAGGGCTGATCATATAGCCTCCTGTACAAAGATAACAGTCACCTCTGTTGCCTCCCCACACCAGTGGAATGTGGCCCCCAGAAGTCTGCCTACTGAGGAACATGGCCCTTGGATGGAAAATGGGAATGCTTGGCTTTGAGCACAAGGAATGAGGGCCAGCTTTCAGCAACCTGCTCACCTGGTCCACAGGTAGCAAAATTGGGCAGAGTTGGCATTTTTGCATGGTTCAGAATGTTGCAATCCTTTGCTATCTGAAACTTGGTTCAATACCTTGCGTTTATCCAGGGGCTACAAAGAGAACAAAATGTGCTCTGAGGCCATAGACATGTCAACTCGCCCGGACCTCTTCGCTTCACGACTGCTGGTGCTGCAGAAATATATACCCAATAATACCCTGTGGGTTAAGCCTGGATGGCCAATAGAATCCACACAGCAATGGTCTGTGAAACAGGATATTTATTTAGGCACTGCAAGGTCAGTGCGACACAACCTCAACCAGCAAATAATGAGCAGTGGCAACCCAAAAATGAAAAAGACACAAGCATTCATTCACTTTCTGTGGCCTGTTGGCAGACCAACTCTGCATTACAAAGATGTCTGCAAACGTTACCTGAAAGCTGGCAACATCAAACCCCGCCAGGTGGGAATCCCTTGTTTTTTTGCTGCGTCATATTTGTTTTCATAGAATCATAGAATTGCAGAGTTGGAAGGGACCACGAGGGTCATCTAGTCCAACCCCCTGCAATGCAGGAAACTTTGTTTTGGTGTGCTTTTCCTGTGTTTGCACATCACCGGTTTTTCTTCTGTAAAATGGGCATTTTGTGGTACCTGCAGCAGATTTTTAGATTTCCAAATGTACCCCCAGTTCTGATAAGGTTAGGAACTCCAGGAATAACACAATGCCTCCTAGTTTCCTCTTGTTTCCTCCTAGTTTAATTTGCGCTGTCCTCTTCACACTGCTATACAGTAGAGGTAAAAGCACAAGGTGTCTGCATGAAAAAAGAGGACAGCAAAAGCATTCAGCTGCATCAACTTCGGTGTGGAGTTTGAGGAGACGACCATTTAATTGGATTTATTTTTGCTGGAGCTGAAGGAAGGTGAGGACAGGTGACCTCACCTAGGCCCGAAGTCACCCCCCACCAAAGCAGGCTCAAAGCTTCTCAAAGCTTTTCAAAATCATTTTCTCAGCAGCTAAGCATCAGAAACATTCCGCTTTGCTGTAACAAAGGTAGAGAACAGTCCATTGTTTCTCAGGCCTTTCTCATGCCTTCTGGCCTTGCTAAAGAACCACATTGCAACTTACTTTCTGTCCGGGGACCATGCCATAACAAGAGATTGAAACATATCTGAACACACTGAAACCCCCTCACCCCCTTTCCTGGGAAGAGTCCAAAATAGTCCCAAGACAGCTTTCTGTACATGCTCAGGAACCTCAACATGGGGCAGGACTCCTGAGGGAGGAGAAAGGAGGAGGGAACTGGAAAGGGGTATATATGCTTGTGCACATGACTGTGAACTTCGTGCATGCTTTTTGTGACTTATCACACTTGCTCCTTCTACCAGTTCATGGATGGTAGAAATAAAACCTTTTTCTCCGAAACTATTCCTTGAGTGTCTGTTGACTCCCACTTCCCTTTCCCAGGCGCAATATTTTTCCCACCCGAGGGCAAAGCCTCATAAGGCTACATTTCTTGGTGCGTTGGCCGGGAATCGAACCCGGGTCAACTGCTTGGAAGGCAGCTATGCTAACTTGTGAGCCTCAGCCCATGCGTGATGCCTATGGATCACTGGGGTTGTTCTAACCCTTGTCCCAAGACTGCACTGCGGGGCAGTCATAATCCTATCTCTCTCACCCTCTGCTCACCACCTGCATACCAGGGATGATAATGTGGGTAATAGTGGGCTGCACTGCAGGGTTGTTGTAGTCCACAGTCTTAGCCTCATCCCATCATTTCCTTGCAACGTGAGGAAAGCAACACTGGACTACACTGCAAGGTTGTCAGAAGCTGCTCTGAGCTTGAGGCCCCATCAATATGGTGGTAATTTGACTTGGCAGTATGGTGGTAGTAGTTAAAGCACCAAACTAGGACCAGGGAGACCTGGGTTCGAATCTCCCCTCAGCTTCAATGTCCCCTGCAGGGTCAATCTTTCAACCTAAACCACCTCAAAGGGTTGTTGTGGGGATGAGACGGAAAGGTGAGAGGTAACTTCCCCTGGGTTTCTTGTGTTGTAAACAAAATCTGCCCTTTTCCCCTTATGGGGTATCCAAGAGCCCGAATAGAGTCCTATTGGTAGGAGAAAGTAACAGAGGCCAACCAGAGAATATTGAGAAGCAAATCAGCTAGTAAGTCTGATCTTTATGGATCTGTTGCAACAGGGTGCTCCCCTCACACGCAGGAGAGGAGGACCCAGAACCAAGGTGTGCCTGTCCTTATATAGACATTTTAAATTCCCTGCCCTGGAGCTCAAGACCACCCCTCCATACATCATACATACATCACAGAAAAAGTGGTCTACAACAGAAATTTGAATGTTGTTTTTCCTGTCTGCCAGGTTATCTGATAATGCCTTATCTGATTGCCTTTCCTGGTAGTCTGATGAAATGGTGATTACCCAATTCCTGCCCTCCCTCCTTGCAGAGAAAACATTTGGTCAGCTTGGGAGTCAAAATGGTTTCAGGTCGGTCTTCCTGTGCTGATCTATGTGCGTGCTTGGTTGGTACATTTACATTTTATTGTTACACTTCAAAGAAGCAGAAGATACAAATGGGATAAATAAGTAATACCAGACTACACTGCAGGGCCGTCGTAAACCATTATGCTCCCCCGCCCCCCGAGACAATGAGCAACAGCAGACGCCTATGGCGCTGCGTTGCGTAAGAGACACGCCCACCCAGCTGCTGTCCAATCGCAAGCTACGCAGAAGTTAGGGCGCCGTCCCTTTGGGGAGCATTCGCCCACTTCAAAGATGGCGCAGAGGGAAAACCCGGAAATCTGATCTCCCGCTCTAGGACTTCCTCCTATCTATGCTCAAGACGCAGGTGAGGACCTTTAGTAAGCCGCGTCGGTCAAAGATGGCCGCCGAGGTGAACCGGAAGTCCCCCCGTTGGTTCCGGGATTTCGACCACGCCCCTCCAGTTGTGTACAGGTCGGCGCTGCACTCTAGGCGACAAAGAGGCGCCCGTGCGTAAGTGATACGTCAGCCCAAGAGGGGCATCGGGCGTCACCGCGCATGCTTGCCCAGAAGCGGATCCCG